TATTTATTACTTTAATATCCAGCATGCTGTACCATGAAATATCAGCTCCCATTTTTATTCCAGGAATGCCACATTTCTGAGCCACACCAGTTTGCAGTGAAATGAATGTTGCAGCAGAGCACTGGGGGTTCAAAGCAGTGGTTTTGGAGCTCAAATCCCATCCAATCTTATGCTTCAGTTTGGAGGCATGTGAACTTAGTTTCACTAGTTTGCCTTCTGGGAAATGGGTTTTTTGTAAGCTGCGGTGGCCATCATAACAGCCGTTTTGTATATGGGCAAACCTGTTCCATGGCAGCCATTTTGAGAGAATGCCCACAATACTCACAACATTCCAAATGTGTCCACTGATCTAAAAGAAAAACGGTCTCTCCAACAAACTAACTAATTCATTGAGGTCTGCTACCCTGATTATTTTGGAAGTATTTGAAGATAGGGGTATGTTCAGCATAGTGCCTTAGCTCCACAGAATGGAACAGATGGGTGTTTCCAAGGAACAAGAAGGTGGGAAGATCTGGCCACCTAAGCTGAAACAACACATAGAATTTCCAGTGCATAAAATTTCCACTGCTTCAGCGAAGACTCATTCTATTCCTCTGTCTATTGCTCCCTTACCAGAAGAGGAGAGGTAGGAAGACCTTGAGAAGTTGTCATCAGTACTGGTGGCCTGGGTGCCTTTCCAAAGATTCATATTTATCACTTAACTGAAGAATCATTGGTAATAAAACTTACTAATAAATGTATGTCTCATATCACTTACAATAGAGCTTTACTGAAGGCCATATAACAATAAAATGAAAATTGCCATCAATTATTGTGCCGTGATAAAAAAGTGTCAGTATTTTAGATTCTTTCCCTGATAAGGTGCACCTATATTAGCAAGTATCATGAGATTACTCATTGCCCTCTTACGATCAAAGACACTTGCATCCTTCAGTCCACATGGACTTTCTGAAACTCTAGTTGACTTTCACTTCATATTCCAGAGAAGGAGAGCATCAAATGGACTCATTGGAGCTCATTTCCACTCCTTCCTCATTCCAAAATGACTCTGAATATTTGGGGGAGTGGTATCTCCATTACTTGATGCATCACTCAGCTTTAACAAGATCTGAGGATCAGTAGAGTCCTAGAATGCAATGTAGGCCTGTTTGGAGGATAAAATTGGATAATGTTATCCAGTTTACAAGGAGCAACCTTGTGCTCCTGAGAGTGAAGATGGCATTCAAATAATGGGAACCCCAGAAAATGTGTACTAGGAGATGAGCAGAATGTATTCCCTTCTCACCTTGCATCTTAGACCTTTAGCAGGCATCCCTATTTTGCTGCTTAGTGATATTGACCTGGTTTGCATATAATGGCAACCCAGACTACAGGTTAAGCATAGGTTGATTGTTGTTGAATCTTGCATTGTCATTATATACTAACTCAGTAGTGTCTCCAACTGATTGTTCTTAAAACAAGCAAGTGAGAGTCCCAACCAAGCAACAAACCATGATTTCTCTTCCTGGGTTGTCTGATAGTTACAGATAATCAGTTCTCATTATGTGCAAGTCATGTGGTATGATAACATACATGTCAGCCTATATTCAAGGTTGCTGTTACATACAAACCAGGTTTCTTGTTAATTAACTGTCTAATCCACCTGCCTCTCCTTTTGTCTTCCTAAATTCTTCCCTTGCCACATTAGCTTACTCATGTTTGTCAGCTTTTTCTTCCTGGTTGTTTCTTGTACAATTACAGCCTTTATATCATCTCTTTTCTTACCTTAACTCAAGAGCTGTTTGATCCACTCTCCCAACTGACTATTCCCCTTTTATGCAATCCTAGAACATTACTTTAATTTGTTGTCTTAATTCATGTTCTCATCCAGTGGGAGAACAAAATAGTAAGCCAACTCTGTTCTCTCTTTCTCTTCTTTTGTCCTTGCTAATCAAGGATAACACACATCCATGAGCTACACCAGCTCTGTCAATCCCGATTCTACACTTCCTCCACTCAGCTTTCTCTTTGCTGAGAACTTTTCATCCTTCTATACTTTTTCCCTAATGGGCAAATATCAGCTGGTAGGGTGGAGTGGAAGTAGACTGGGAAAAGAATGAAGAAGGAAAAACTGGATTTATTCCCCAGAGTCTTTCTCCAGTTCAATTCCCTCTCCCACTGCTACATTGAAGAGACAGTTGAGAGCTCTAATGTCTCCTTTTGGTTGGCCTTCAAGACACTAGTGAAACAAGCACTAAAATTGTCTTAGTCCAACGCAACATGTTTTGGACTGAAGGACAGTGTGTGTGTGCACACATGCACACGTGTGCACACACGCTAATATCTGTGGTCAACATTTGCATATTAGGGAATTAATAAATCTTCATTACACACACGCAGGCATGCACCCCCCCCCACCAAACAACTACTGGTGTAAGATGTATCTTCAAAAGCGTGCATGTACTGAAAACCTAGCCAAAGAATTATAACAATGTTTCTAGTAATGATGTTTCAAGGGGTTTTTTGTTTTTTTGTATAATCTGGAAGATAAGGAGATTTTTAAAACACCATATGCTGAATAATATAAACACTTCAGAGAAGAGAAGGCAGAAATCTTATGATTAATGAAAACCAGAGCAGATCTCCTTGTCGGGACGAAGCCTTATTATCAGCCCAAAGATGAAAAATAATTAGTTTTGTGATACTCCAGTCTTTTTAAGAAAGGGGAAACTGAAAAAAATTGGTATTTATCCATGCACAGTAATGTTAAATATTCAAAGGGCACTATGATCTCTTATGTATATGGGATTCTTAATGTGTCAAATGCTGTGCTGTCTTCATTTTGCTTGTCCTCTCAAAACAGGACAATCAAGCCTGTGAGATACTTTCCATTTTACAAATGGCAAACTGAGGGTAAAAGATACTTGCCCAAGCCACTCAAAGAGTTTATGGATGAATTGGCAGATCAAGGTTAAAGGATAGTACTGTCTATTGAATTAGGGTAGCTAATAACACAGGTTGCACAAAAATGTAATTAATATGATGCAATCTAGAGACGCAAAAGTAGAAAAAAACATGGAGAAACTAGAAAGCAAGATCCCAAAAAAATGGAATAGCTAACCTGCGGACTTCTGCTGCTATAGATTTCTCATATTGCTATGCAGGTTGATTTCCTACTTTTAACCAAAACGAGGCAGGTGCACAATATGACAGACTCAGTAAGAATCACAATGTAACAATAAGATTTCACTTGAATTTTACTGAGATAGCAACAAAGTAAAAACACATCTATAATCTGCTGAAATTCTTCCCGTGGAGAACACTGAGAGCTTTGCAAAGCCACCAGCCGTGGCAAAGTGACGCAGCATGATTCCTACATGGTTGTCAGAGAACAGGTCATATTCCATGCATTGCTGGATGTAACAAAATTATTGTAAGAGCTTCAACAACCAACACATTCCTTTTTAAATAATGAATTACTAATTCCCCAGATTGCATTATATTAGATATGCAGAATTCAGTCTAATGATACAATCATTCAAGCAAGGCCCATTGACATGAATGAGAGATGAACAGGATTACATCTGTTCTCCTAAACCAAGGGATAATTATAATGGAATTTTTATGGAGTTTTCACCTGTTCCCATTAGCCAGGTCGCTGTCTTACAAGCAAGTGTATAACAGAAGCTTCAAAGGCAAGGAAAGCCATTCGGCCTGAACTGCTTCTGCTCAACTTTTGCAGACCCAAATATGAGCCATCATCACCCTAAACAGTTTAAGACCACATTAGCTGAGACCATATGGCATCACCCAAGCACACAGGTCAGCATCAGAAGCACTGTTCCATATTCAGCTACTGTCTGAGGTATGGTGAATAGTCACGTGACAGGACCTTTTCATCCATGGCACATATGGAATGCTTTACCAAGGAACACTTTCCTGAGGGTAGTTGTGTTAGCCTATAGCTGCAAAGCTCCTATAGCAAGGAGTCTTATGAAAACTTTAAAGACTAACAAGTTTATTCTGACCTGTTTTCTTGGACTGTAATTCACTTTTGATGAAGTGGGCTCTAGTCCATACATCCAAATGAATTTATTAGCCTTTAAGGTGTCCTATGACTCTGTTTATCCATAAGCCCTCCCTGTCCTGATCATTGTTCACCGTTCAGTGGCTGGTGAAAATTCAACATATTTGAGATGACCAGGGCAGGGGCTGAGTGACTAATGTTTAGGGTGACTACTGGCAAGATTCTTGACCAACTGTGTTTGCTCCTGTGCTGTTCTTGCTTATTTTGAAGCTGTGTTTCAATATTGCCTGATTTAGTATTGCCAGAAGCCTTAGGGATATTTAGCTATTGGGCAACATAGAAATACAATGAAATAAAATATTGACAGAAAGGGGGCATATAGATATTTGCTAAAGAAAACCATACACTCACAGCTATGTATCAGCAATATAACTATGAGTATAATATGCTGAGATAATCTCCAAGAAGGATCCCTGTCTCGGGGATCTATATACTCTCTCTGCTAGCAATAACAAAAATGTTCAGTGGAGTTAGAAAAACTGTACCTAATTAATGGCCTTCATTGTTAACAATCTAGTCTTTGGTTATAGGTTGCATCATGCCTCCACCACAGTACATTCCCTGTTGCAGGATATTATAAATATTCATAAATATTCATTTAGCAGAAATGTCTGCTAAAGGGGTACACATCCACAATGCTCATGCCACAACCATGATTATATTGCTAAAGAATGATGTTGTACAGAACTTCATTACTGTTAGTGAAAGCAACATGATATAAAGGATCATGGCCTTCAGACAGAGATTTGAGTCCAAAGGTTGAACAGAGACACACACACCCCAGTTTTGTTTTTATTAAACCATTTGAAAATGACTGTGTCTTGCAATTAGTCATTTGGCATGGTTATCCACAAAAATAATAACTAAGAAATATAGATACTGCTGGGTTTTGTACAGGGATGGGAATGGTCACGCAAATTACACATGATTTAATTTATGATGAATCTTGAAAGTTTCCATTTTCATACTGGTAGGAAGTCTGTTCTACATTGTGTATCACGTCCTTTTGCTTCTGCAATTCTTTCCTTCGTACTTCGTCATTTTGAATGGTAGCACCGTATGTTCTCTTTGAGCTAACAAAACTATCGTTGTTCAGTTCAGTCTCTTCAGCCAGTTCATCTTGGCCAATTATTCCACATTTTTCTTCATTCAGGTTTTCTGGATCAGCCCATTGTTGCTTCTCACCAGAAGCAAAGATGGCATAAAATATCACGCCACTATAATGAACTAGGGCAGCTATTAAGAAAACATTTTGCCATTCTTCACGGGTCTAAAGGAATGATAGGGGAAAGGGTATACTTTCAGTACTAAAAGAAGATAAAAACATCTAGATCAGAAACTATGAAACAGAACTGATTGCGATCCATCCTGATTCCTAATTTGGTTCTTTTTAAAGAATATATTTTCTTCTGTGCAGCAAAATGCAAGCTAATTCTGTCTATTTAGCATATTCCATCAACATTATCACATTCCTATAATGGTGCAATTGCACCCTGTGCAGGGCCAGCACCAAGTAGGTCCTCAGCACTGTGCTGCTGATGGGCCACCGGGATGCTGCTTTGGGGATAGCACCAGCCCACAGCAGTGCTGCAGGCAAAGATCTTTTCAAGTGTCCTCAGTCTACCTCTAGTTCCAGATATGTATCCAGAAACATTTACAGAATTATCCGTACTACAATCTTTTCTCAGGAGAATATGTGAGTGAAGATTAAAGAAGGACCTTTTCAGCCTTCTACAAGAAGCAACATATCTAATATTGTTTTCTTCACCAATGCCCAATTATACTTGCTGAGAAAAAGACTCAGCCCTTGCCAGCTTTCAAAGTGACTAGGGATTGGTTTGGTGTTGGCAAGGGAATGACCTGGTTAAAAAAAAACAGCAACCATCACAACGGTTTGCAATATATGCGAAAGTTGTCAAGGGTAAAAACACTTTACCTTATGTTTAGTCATCGCACCTACAATGAGAGGACACACCATTCCTGACAATGTCCCCACTCCGTTAGAGATGCCCATGAGGATGCTGGCATAACGGGGTGCAATGTCTAGATGGTTGACATTAAATCCTATAACACACAAAATCCATTAGCAGTACGGTTTTTGTGGGACTATTCATCATAGTAAAAGTGATTCAAGCAGAACAAAATTCAAAGGAAATACAAATAAATCTGGCTTTCCACTCCAGTACATACTTCTGAGAGCAAGGATGGGCAATTCACATCACTCCAGATTATTGGCCTACAATTCCCATCAGCCCTAGCCAGGATAACCAATGCTAAGACTTCATTGAATGTGTAAGGTATAAAGTCTGGAGAGCCAGAAATTGATTCCCCCTGGTCTAGCGGACTGATAAGCAGAGCAGAGGAAGCCCACTTATTTCAGAAGCAAGAATACTGAAAATATATCCAAGATTCACAGAAGGAAGAAATTAATTTTAAATTGCATTGTACTTACAATGAACTTATAAGGATAGAGCTTTAGGGTGTTTAGATAGAAAAGAGTCCTGCAATTCCCAGTTGACTGGGGAATGCTCGGAATTGTAGGACATTTTTTCTGAATTGCTTTTAGAATTCTATATGATATACAATTGTGATTGCCACCATTATGATTAGTGTAGCTGGCACATACATACAGATTCTTACTGGAACCACTAAGAAATATCAAGGACAATATCTGAAGATCAGTCTTGAAGAAGCTCATAATAGGAAGACAAAGGAAAATTTGCACAAAGGTTCTTTGGCAATGCTTCCAGTTGCCAACCAAAGTTCAAGAGCATGAAGAGGGTGAAGAGTTTGGCTAAGATAGTGCAAAAGTAAATACTGAGAAAAGTGCAAACATTTACAGAACTTGTCTGTCAAGGGTAAGACACCAGGATGACATATGCTCCTGAGCTGGACCTGGATTCCAGTTGCAAAAGGTATCTAATCTCCTGGAGCACCAGAGCTTCAACCCTGTAGCCTTGTGGTGGCTCCTGAGTAGAAGTTGCATAAGTTTTATTTATTTATTTAGGATATTTATATACCGTCCTTTGCAAAAGCCTCAGGACGGCTTACAAGATGCGGCTTTTCTCACTATAAATCTGGGAGAAGTTGTAGTATTTTCCTTTCTCTGGACTATTTAAATAGGAGACCTTAAAATCTGCACTGGATAACTAGCTACATTTTCTTTTCTTCTGGATGAAATTTCTGCATCCCAATACATGTAGACCAGCAAATTCAACTTTTAAAGCTAACCCCTTTATTGTTGTTCAGTAACAAAGTGGTAGGGTCTGATATCATTTGGGCTGGACCCTTTTATATTTGCAAAATAGTTCTCTCATGGGTTCATTCTACTGTGTGGTTCTCTCATGTTTGTCATACTTCCCACAGAATGCAGAACTATCTGATTCAACAATCATAACAAGACTACCAACCTTATAAACAGTTTCCCCAACCTGCATCAAAGTAATGTTTAAGCCTACCTGAAATAGCAAATCCACTAAAGCCCACTGCCAAAACCAAGAAAGATATTGCCACACCTCTTGTTTGAGAGTAGCCAACCACCAAAAGTAAAGTTGCTTCCATACCAAAACCTGCAAGTGAAATACAAGTTGAAAGTCACTTATTTAAAATTTACTGCTTCAGGAGATACCAAAACCATCTCTAGATTCTGTCCAGCCTCAATCAAGAATGTTTTGAAAGATTAGTTTCACAGTTGACCTTGCTGGCAATTGATTCCTCAATTTACAGTAAAATTTACAAATATCTTAAGGAATTATTCAAACAGTTTTTAGGCAATAGGTACTTGTTACTGTAAAACAGATTCCTCTCTCCTCTTAAAAATGCACATGAATAGCCATTTTCCTTTAGCTTTTAAAATGGTAGAGACTCTTTTCTTAAGCAATTCAATGTGCTGTTAAAGTTACAGCAAAGTGGCAATTCCAAGCAGCAAATGAAAACAAAATGTGCCTGCTTGGCTTGATAACCCCTTTAAAAACACAGATTTATAAAGAATGTTGACTAAGTCACACATCCTAAATTTAAGCCAGATTTAAACCAGAATAACCATTCTTAGACAGTAAAAATATTATTTGTGTAAGAATTCGAAATAGACTTTTTTCAGCAAGAATGCACAACATTTTCAAGAAAGTAAACCTAGGATCTTTGTTTGAAAGAGGTTTAAAAGAAAGACAGCAACTCCAAACTGCAAGTTCAATTATTTTGATTAATGAGATTCCTTTTTCTTTGCTCTATATCTTTAAACGCATACACACTAATGTGAGCATTTCAGTCTGTATCAACTTGGGAAGCACTTCCAACTTATACCAGATCAGATAAATGGTCCATCTAGTTCATTTCAGTCTACACTGACTGACAGAAGCTTTCCAAGGTTTCTTATCCTTACCTGGAGATTCTAGATACTGAACCTGGGGCCTGTGGTTCTAAATATGTAAATATTTCTCTCCTGCATGTATTTATCTATTAAATTTCTATCTCACCCATTAGCCAAGATGACTCTCTGGGTGGACTACACAATATATAATATAATAACAACAACAAACACAATAAAAACAATAATATTAAATTGGCATATATACATCAATAATAAAAACACAGAGAACTACAAAAAACCCAACGATTAATATCTTCCATTTATTACACCAAGGGCAAAGGCACAATAACACTAAACCACTAGAAATACCATAAAATCTCTTTAAATTACATTTAGTATTAAAATATTGGATAATTAAAAAGGTATTTGCCTTATGCCAAAAGGAGTAAAGAGAAAGCACCAGGTGAACCTCTTTGAGAAGCTGGTTCCAAAGTTGGGGTGCTAAGAAGGACTAAGAAGGTCCTTCTCCCGGTAGATACCCTCTTTGTTTCCTTCAGAGGGGGCTCAGAGAATGACCTCAAATGCAGATTCTGCATTTCAGAATAAAGCTTTCAAAATGGCATGAAAAGTTTAATTTTATTTTGTTCTATTAATCACACCTGGCTACCAGCAAAGCAGAGTTTTATTTTAGGTAGTAACACATAATTCAAATATTTTATCAGAAAATCTAATCATACCTCCACAATTCATGATTTTTCTTACTGCAGTGGTGGTTAAAATTCTTCTGCTGCGTAAACAATCAGCCAGCTGGCCTCCAATGGGCACGATAATGGTCATGACCATATGAGGAACAGCAGACAAAAGGCCAACCTGAAACGATAGAACACATGATAGAATTGACATTTTCACTATAATTGTGTTGATAAGAAGTTTTGCCTCTTTTTCTTTAATCTAGATGGTAGTTTTTTGTTAGCTATATGTCAGATATGAGAGCCAGTGTGGTGCAGTGGTTAAGAATGTGGGAGCTGAACTCAAGAGATCTGGGTTCTAGTCCCCGTTCTACCATGGAAGTAACTGAGCCCAACCTACCTCACAGGGTTGTTGTTATTGTAAGAATAAGATTGATGGGAGGAGGATTATGTAAGCTGCCTTGAGTGCCTTGACACGTCAAAAGGATGGAATATAAATATAATAAATAAATTATATTATCTACAAGTAACAATAATACTAATGGAAAAGTCAAAGATACCTATATCTGGAAATCATCAGCCTCACTCATCTCAAAGGAATCACTCAGCCCTTAATCATCATGCTGTAAGAGGAAGACCCTGGGCTCATGTATGTACCTTGCTTATTGCAAATCCAAAGACCTCCTCAAAGTATGCAGGCTGACTTATCAGCAGTAAGTAGAAAGTCCAGCTTCTGCAAAAGTTTGCCACAATGATTGCATAAACTGGCATTGAAGTGAAAAACTGCTTCCATGGAGTATTAAATCTCTAGAAGAGAGAATGAGAAAGCCTTAGAATGACTGGAAAATTACAGAGATGTTAAGAGTAATCTGCATCAAGGTAAGAGTATGGCATCACCATCACACGAGTGGTACAAGGGCATTACGACATACTGGCACAACTGGAGTAATTGAACACACTGGGTGTCAAATTTCACATTATAAGTTGCATATTATTATGACAGTAATAATCAGCTTGCATTTAAAATGTCACATATTATGACAAATTCTCTTAATCCCCTCCAATGTTGATATGTTCCTACCATGAACAGTAAATTGACATGTTTATATGAGCAATGAATCAAAGAGGAGATAGTCATGAAGTTATGATTCCAGTAAATTCTACTTACACTGGCACTGACTAAATTAGCTCCTCCTATACTTGTTTCTATGTATGTTTTTTCCTCAGTGGTAATTGTTGGATGAGCAGCAGGACTCTCATAGGCATGCAAAAGCCAGAACACGTACCAGATAATCCCAAACATTCCTGTAGAGACAGGAAGACATGCCTTGTCAAAAGTACATCATGCCAAATTTTTCAACAAATCATGGAAAACTGCAAGTGTTTGGCAATACTTTCAACAAAGTCATTCAATTCATTACTGTATTGTAAGCCATCCAAAGACTTTTTTTTAGTAATGGAACAGCATAGAAAAACTTTAAATAAATAAATACTGCTCTATACTCCTCAATAGTGGTATAGAAGAGAAGGAAGTTTTATAAATCACTGTCCCGGAAATTCACAAAAACCCTAACCTTAACCCTTTAAATACAGTATAATAACGTAGTATAAAATCATATGAATACAGAAATATAGAACTTTTTGAATATTTTAAAGCCAGTCATATAGGAATATTGAGTTGTACGAATAGTGTCACTGAGCTTGCACAAAGCTTCTATCATTTGTGGAAACCACTTAGTTATCCTTGAGTGGTTATTAAATCCAGCTCATATTGCACAAGATGCTGTACATCTTATCACAACATCATTAGACTAACTGCTCTTCTGCAAAACTGCTTTTTCGGCTAGCCCTACTGCAAGCAGCATCAGTTCCTGTCCATTTTTGGTCGCATAACGTTGGGTATAACCCATAAAAATATTTGTCATAAAGCTAAAATAATGAAATTTCCTTGTTCAAAGAGGGAACATTATATTTTTTTTTAGAATTGTGTTTTACTGCTTTGACTGTATTCAGTTTTATTCACTGGGCAACTTACCATATATATAAAAGACAGATGACCATCCTATGTATTGCACTAATATACCTGCCAGTGGCATGGCAACCACTGCCCCAGCATAAGAACCTGCAGAATAAAAGCAAGTGTATTTGGGTCAACAACTGTGTTCCACCACATCCAACCAATTAATGAATTGATTTAGTCAGCACACACAAAATGACAGTAAGCAGCAGCAGCAGCAAAGGATGATCAGAACAATACATTATTGTAGTCAGGTCTCAAATGCTTTCTGAAAAGGCTGCCAAACATCTTTGGAATGATAAGGAAGCTGCACTAGCATCTCTCAGAACGGAGTTCTGGAGCATTGATGGCAGCCTTCCTCACTTGGTAGGGTGACATGATATTTCCACAAAAAGCTGCATGCTGCCTCCAGTATTCAAGGCAGTGTAGAGGTGAGCACTAGTTGCAGGGAAACTTGGGTGGGAAGAGGCTGTTGCTGCCCTGCTTGTGGGATCAAGTGGGCAGCTGGTTGGCCACTGTGTGAACAGATCTCTGGAATAGATGGATCCTTGGTAATCTCCTGTACAGATCTTCTTATGTTCTTACCTCTTCCTTGAATCACTACCTGAAAATTGCTGGTTCTTTCCAGTTATAGCTGCTGACTATCTTCTAAACAATCAACCAGTAGCCTCCAGTTTTTACACAGAAGACTTCCCTGTCCCAGGTTGGAAAAGCTTACATAATCCAAGACATATCTGAGGTTTTATCAACATCAGCAGCAGTGTGAAAACCAAAGCAAATGTCTCAGGAGTTTAGTGCTTCAGATGACTTTTTAGTGCTGCAGATGGGGTGAGCATATGCCAAAAGAAAAAGAGTTTCTCTCTGAGATGGTTGAGGCTCAAGGACATTCAGCAGGCACAGTTCTTCACTGCTGTATTGGAATGAGCAAGCTTGCATCTGTGAGATGTCATCTTCTCTATTCTCAAATAGAAAAATTCCTTTCCTGAAGTTGGTTACTCTCTAGTACCATAAAATGTAAGGAAAATGCAATTCAGGGGCTACTATTCAACTCAGTTATTAAGAAAAAGAATGCCCACGCTAAAAGATTTGAGAAAATAAATGGTGTTTGGATCCTATTGAGAGCTCATGCAGACAAACCATGAAATTCTAGTATGGCATCTAGCAGTTGTTGCTGATGAATTATTCTGAGAGATGACCAGACTCAGGTGTTCTTCTTTTCCTCATTTGACATCAGTTCATACTTTGTTAATGAACAGTTAACCTATGCATGAACCACCACTGAGCATGCTGAGAACAGTTCACTCTTGGCTGCCCTTGGAATAATTCATCAGCAACTTGTGATTACCCATGCTTCAGGAATGTAGTGTGGCCTAAAGACATTAGCCAAATGTTACACTGTACATGTGTTAATGAAGAAAAAGACCCTACATCCAGTCTAATATTCAGTCTGCATGCAAACAAATTGGAGCTCTAGAATATACTGAAGGGCAAGTGAGGAAAGCACTATAAGAGGCAAGCAATCCAAACTCAAAAGAAGCCTGAAAATATTATAGGAAGAGGCTGCCAAGAGAGACTGAGGGAGGTAAATGTGAGAGGATGTGGTCTGTTTCCAGACAGAAGGCTCCTAGCTTTTCTGCTGTAATCCAGAATGGAAATGCACTGAAACACAGAGAGACAAGACAGAAACTAAATGTTTCAATATAAGCTTGATGTAATATTTATGTGGATGTGATTAGTGATATGTTTTATAAGTAAAAATCCACCCAGCAAAATGTGAATTGGCAATGAAGTATGGAACATTAAAATTGAGAGATATTAAACTAGAGAGAGAGAATTAGATCCAATTTATTTCATGATTAAAATTGCTATTATAAGGGGAAAGAAAGTGGGAATAATACCTACTGAAATGAGATATGACAGAGAGCACTTTACCCTTGACTCCATTTTGAAAGAAACTAATGACAGGGCAAATAAAAAGATTTTAGGAGAAATCCTCTAAGAATGAGATCGTGCCTCTCAATGCCTGAAGTAGGCCAATGTCAGGAAATGATGAGCAATTAAAGATCTCTATGTTTTCAAGTCAGCATGGTGTTTTATTAAATCCATTGTAAAATCTCAAATCCAATGAACTTACCACAGAAAGATGTGGTAGCCAACCTGCTTCTTTCCAGTGGAGGAGCCCATTTACTCCACATTCCATGGCATGCTGGGTAAGTCACACCCTGGAAAAAAATTATGCACAGCATTCAATTTCTGTTTAATATCTTTCCTGTGTACACAACTTTTTTTCTCTTCAACTAAAGGAATTATTATTAGTAGTAGTACTATTAGTAGTAATAGTAGTATTTATCTTTCAAGGAAGCAGTCCCATAGTTACCAAAAAGTTATCATCCAAGTAACTAACTTCATTTAGGGCTAAATTGCTGGAAAACCAGAGCTTTAACAGAAAAGATAAAATTGCTTGCTTCCTTCCAAGAAATGTATTGTTTGCACTCTGGTAAGTAAAGTGTGAGCTAATAACAATGACCAAAACAAATGCATGGGGTGCCTACCTCCACAAGCCCTTGTAAAATCCTTACAAACATAACACAGCCATAATGTACCCTGGCGGCTGTAGGAATGAACATGTTTAGTGTGGAAGTGAGAAAAATAGCTGCTCCAAACACCCTGGGAAGAGAAAATGGGAGTGAGAGATAGCACCATGGTTTATTCAGTGTGATTTCATATAAGGATGATACTAAATATTGAACTGTCAGGTAAAAATGGGAGAATTAGCAAGACTTGATCTTCTTGAGATTCTCTGACTTCCAATTCAAAGCTCAATGCACCCATTTCTTATTACAGCCTGGTTTGCTTTTTATTCCGAAAGGGAAAGTGCACATTGCAGAATGTAGTTTTTTAAAGTGATATGCTCATTTTTAGACCCATGGGCATATGGGGAAAATCCCCTAAATGATGAGTATATATGATCTATCCAATACTTAGCAGGAATTTATAAAATGTGGAAAATTATAACTGTAAATATGTGTATCTTAATGTTTAAATCAGGTCAAGCTACATCACCACTCTTCCCCCCACCCCCAAAAAAACCACTCTTTGGATTCAAGCAACACATACTTGAGGGCTAAGCATGAATTCTCACTGAACCATGGATTTTGGTCTAACATGGGTTATCAATTTGCCTGAGACCAACCATGCTAACTGTTGTTTGTTATCCATGAACTAGCCACAGTTTACAGTTCTACAAACTGTGATTTCTTTTCATTTGTTGTTTGTGATCAATGAACTATGGCTTGTTGACACAGTATAACACACATTTCAACAATAACCCATGTTTCAGTGACAACCCACACTCAACCCTTGTGTGTGGGCATATGGCAGTGTTCACACAACAGGACAAGCAACTCTGTGAGGTTGCCATGGATTGTGTGTGTGTGTGTGTGTGTGTGTGTGGAGGTGGATGATCATGATCTACCTGACAATCAAGTAATTTCTATGTTATCATGGTCTCCATGCTCTCCCTTCAGTCTTCCCGATGTTGGCATGCATCCCATTAGCCACTCTGCTAACTTGCATTGCTGCCTGTCTATGTTGCCTGCCCCTTCCTCATTGGTCCACATGTAGAGGCCGGTTACTGCTCTTTCCAGGGGACTCTGTAGTAGCTGCATACCAGGAATGTGGAAACCACAATCCTAGGTTCAAACAACAAAACAAGCCACGGTGGCATGAAGAAATCATAGAACAAACCATTGTTTCTTATCATTGTTTCTGAAGACCAAACTGCCATGGTAAAATACCATGACAAGGTTCAGACAAAACAAAAGACCAACACTGGTTAAAAACAAACAAACACCATGGCTTTTCATGTTGTCTGAATCCAGTCTCTCTAAGGTTTTATATACATTTGATACTTCATCCCACACAGCTTTAAGGAAATGTATAATAGCAGTCATGATCATTGTTGACCTGGTGGTAACCCAATGGAATTTTTGTTATACGTATGTTGTTCTGTCATTTTGAACAAATGAACAAATGCCTGTGCCTGTATATGCAACCAAATTAATAACACAGTCTTTAAATTCTATAAACCTCTTCTTCAGAAATATTGGCATTCTACAATCAAAGAAGAAGCTTTAAGCTGGAAAGGCCAGATTCATAAATAAAAATTTGAGCTGAATTTCAACTCAGCCATCCGTCAGAAATTTTGCAACACAAATACTGCCCCTTGTATAACTTGTCTATTTCTAGTTGGGGAATATTACTAGTAGGAAGATGGATTACTGTATATCTGCAGTTATGTTATCTGGTGATTTCAGCAACAGGCTGAGCAATCTAGTGTCCCCCTTTCATGGCTAGACAGCCATTAGATTGTTCAGATTCCCAGCTCCAGTGGGGCTTCAGGACAATATTGTGTAATATAGCCCAGAATCACAACTGCTTTATCATATTATGTTATCGTCTCTTACCTGTTAGCTGCTAGTTTATTTGCAATGAAGCCTCCTGGAATTTGAGTAATAATGTAACCCCAGAAAAATGAGCCATGAATGAGTCCTACTGTTTCTGGATCCCAGTTGAATTGTGCTTTCTACAAATAAAGCAGCATTTATAGAGTAACATGCAGTTAGCACTTTACATTTCCAGATATGTTCACTAACTTGCAATTGAACACTAACTTATCAGATGAGCCTATGGGACACTTTGCAATTGTCTTTTTATCAGTTAGTTGTGATGCAACTACATTAAATCCAATATTTTTTTGGTAAGGGTAACAACATAATTCTCTTCTGGATTATGTCAGAAAAAGCATAATCATTGCCTTCACCTGAATGCACAAGAAAAGTCCCATGTAACTTGCTTTTTGCTTTTGGCTATTTGAGTGGCACTGACTGACATATTCCTAGGACACACAGTCATAGACTGGAAACAAGACAAAGAAATGCAGTTGGAGATACTTGGAATGCTTTCACGGCAATTAACCACCCACTTAATAGGAAAACTGACATGCTTGTTCCACAATGCTGGCAAAATGAGCCTGGACACATTCAAACAGTGTTGGGCTCTGACTTCCATCAGGTCCTGCCAACATGGCCGATCCTTTCCTGGCAGACTTTCTCCACCCATAGTAATGGTTGCCCTATTTCAGCCTTCCCAGAGTAGGTGCCCTCCAGATGTTTTGGACTGTAACTCCCAGCACTCTTGTGAATGTTTTTTGTCACCATGGTTGGGACTGAGAGGAGCTGAAGCAACACAAGAGGTCTTATATTTATCACAGCAAAATCCAATGAATCTTTTCCCAGTCCCATTATGTCCAGTGGCAGTTTCTCCTATGTATGGCTCGAGTTGCAGCCCATTTTTCACAGTGTATTATGGTGGGTAGGGAAAGAGCTTGTTTGTTTGTTTGTTTCTCTAACCCCTCACAGCCAAAGCTTTCAATCCCCAGTCAGCTGTGAAGCTAACTGGTGACCTTGGGTCATTCACTATCTTTCAGCCAACCTACCTCACAGGGATAATAAAACGTGTGTGAAATAGGGAAAGGGACTCATGTATGCCAAGCTAAGCTTCTTGAAAAAAGATAGGGAATAAACATAATGAATACAAAGACAATATTGCCAGAATCAAGATCGGAGATGAATCATGGTAATAATTCACTAGTCACCATGTAGTTGAAGGATAGACAACTTGGTGCTCTCTAACTGTTTGGGACCACAAGCACTCCTAAACATTAGTTTTAAATATTATCTTTAGCATGGTTATTATTTCTTAGATGCCTGACAAAAGGAGTCTCAAGGTGGTTTTCAGCAAACTATACTCCCAGACATCTGGAGAGTGCTCGACTGACCACCTGTGACTCAGCTTATCCTTTCAGTAAATTTGTCCAAGCCACAGGCAGCAATGTGTTAACTATGAGGGGAGTAGCCATCGCTCAGTGGCAGAGGGCAGGTTGGGAATGCAGAAGATCCATAATAGTAGGAGTGGACATGAACTCCCCCTGCCTGGGGTTTTGGAGAGCGTTTGCAAGCTGGAATAGGTAGTATTGGACCAGATGGATCAATGGTGTGACATCGTAAGGTTCCCTCACCTCAGAACTCCAAGGATGAAATCCAATGTTTGCCCCAGCTGGGAGCTGTAAAGCTTTTTTTTCTGTTTAAACATGCATAGTGTGTATACAACTCTCTACTTTTTCTGGACTAAATTATACTATCTGATCAGTATCTCCAAGATGTAGGCATTTGCACATGATAATGCTGCTGTCTATTAGAAAAAGCCACTTACTGTATCTGCCAGTTTCAGATCCAAATTAAGCTATAGACTATTAGAAAACCCTGACCAAAACAGGGTGTTATTTCTCTGTGCCAAGTAATATATGCCCGCACTTACCTCAATCTCTGGTTTTCCATTGACATAGATTGTGTTGTTGTTAACCATTTCCACGATGGCAACACCAAGATTGCATCTAATTCCAAAAGAAATGCAAAAGCCCAGGCCACTCATTATAGCAATGATGTAGCGTTTAGGTAGCCCACAGCAATAGCAATCAAATAAAGGAGGCTTGTTTGCCATTTGCTTAGGTCTTCCATCTGCATTCAGTTCAATGTTATCTTCTTCTAGGTTGGTTCCATCAATTTTTCTGAAGCCATGTAAAATAAGCATAGAGAAGGAAGGTGGTCTTAGAAGTAGTTGCTGATCTGGATTTGATTAACACAGAGGGCTATCATGGTTGCATTCCCATCTGTTCTTGTTCCTTGTTCTACCAGCCTATTCTGTTTAAAGAGCTGTCCTGTTCAAGCAAGATGAAAGGTAAAGATCCAGTAGGAGGGGAACTGAGGTCTTGGTGTTGCCCATCAACAGAGGGCAGAGGACTGAGCTGCCACTCATGTCTGGTTACTTTCTTGCTGTAACAAGGTGTCTTGTTTTTCTATTTCCTTCATTTGCATCAATACATGTAAAGTAGCACACGCAATTTTTCTAGAAACCAGGGCCCTCTCTTTGGCAATGTGTAAGTGACTGAGCTAAATATGGCTTCACTTTTTGTACCATAGGGTTAAATTTCTGAAATGAGATGTGCCAGCCCTGTTTTCTCTTAGTACAGTGTAAAACAGCCAGTTCCACAATGTTATGTCCTGTGACCTGGAAGTTTTTCTTATACATGCACTGGCCTGTGATGATTATATGTGTGAGAATTTATTGTAGTTAAAATAGTGATAAAGGAAAGAGAAAGATATTCTGACATTCACTGTAGGCTAGTTCCTAGGCCCTTGTAGTGCAAAATTACATTATGGGACTAAACCCTGATATTTTTAAATCCCATATAGAAGTTATAGTCTCAGGGTAGATAGAAACTACAGACTTTTTTCTGGTTTCATTGTTATTTTCATGCCTAAAAGAAGCTCAGAAAATGTGTTTTTGTTAGTATCTTGAAAAGTAATTCCCAGGACCCTTAACAAGCCACAATTCCAATAAATCTTTCAAGGAAACCATCATAATTAACATACATAGAAAACAGTATCTGTAGTCTAGATATACTCTGAACCTTCTTGGAGCCAAGTAATAATGTGCTCCATGTTGTATTCCACAGCAGAGGGAGGACAGTGGCAAAATTGGGAAGCATTTCTGAAGAAAGTTATACGATGATTAAAGGGTCAGAGCACAAGTCAGAAATGTGTGGCCATTCAGATGCTGTGGTGCTTTAACCCCCATCTGTCTGAGCCAACCTAGCCAATGCTCAGGGATCAAGAGAGCTGCAATACAATAGCATCTGGAGGCCACCACATCCTTATGATTGGTTTAGATGGTAAATCCTTTGTAAGAGCATAATCTGATCCTGGCTGAGGCATGGTGATTGCTGAGGGTGTTTTTCTGTCTCAACATGCATAGGATTGCATCCTGGGGTGATACTGAAGGAACTTGGCCTGCATAGGCCAGAAATGTGAGGACAACTGTGAACCCTAACTGATGAGGCCAAAGTTGGGAGCAATTTCTTCATCTAGAGCAAGGTGGGGTGGATTAAATGTAGAATGAGGGTTGAGGAGGTTTGGTTTCAGATATTTATTTCATTTTAGAGAAAGGAAAGATAAAGAGAAAGGATGATCTCAAGAACACCTTTCATTACTCTGTATCTATGACTCATGACAAAAATTCAGACTGTCTTAGTTAAGCACAGGCCTTTAATGTATTTCTTTAAACCAGTTATAAATATTCTCCTTTCTTTTGTAGAGCTCATTGAGGCTAACAGTAATAACTTCAGACCAAACAAGAAGTATCAAAAGGCAGAAAACAAAAACAAAAAACCCAGGGTAAAACAGAAAAGTGGAAGAAAAATAAAAAAAAAATCCAGCAATTACAATATCGTAGTGTACCAGCACATTGCACTGAATTCTTTTATTGCTGAAAGATGGCTAATATTTATACATATCTTTGTTTAGGTCCTGCTATCAGCCATAAAGTCTTTGTCTGCTTTGCATCAAAAGGGATTGACTTAACAAAATGTATAGAACACCAATTTCCATTTTGCACATGGCATCATGTGTCAGCAGATAAAGTTCCCCAGGCATAGCAATGTTTGAACATCTGTCATAAACCACAGTGCTCTTGGCCATTCATGACTATCCCTAATTAGGTTCTAATCAGTTTATCTGTTCAAATCCATTTTTATTTTTCTTCCTTTGAATAATTACCTCTTCTTAATTAATTTTGTGAACAATAGCAAAATGTCTGTGAGAAGAACTGTGAGGAATCTTTGGGTTGCCAGCTTCTTAGCATCCAGGAAGAGGTTCACTAAGAGAAATTGCTTTACTCATATGTTTTCAGCATTTTGCCATTATTTATACAGCTTCAACATGTTACAACATGATCCTATTAAAGAAATATGAAAAGCAACCTCCATCCAACTTCTCCCTTAACCATTGGCAGTTCCAGCAGAACATACAGTAGGAGATGAGAGAGGGAGCAGGGCAGTTTGCTCAAGAGAAGATACAGATGGGACTGCTGAGAGCAGAGGCTGTCTTGCAATCTGCTCATGTCTGGCTGAGAAAGTTGATATGAATAGACTGAATAGATAATCTGGTAAAGCCATAAGTATGAAAAACTAAGAAAGATAAACTACATTATGGACTAGAGGTATATATAACAGTTATATAACATTCTTTGTAATAGGGAAGGGGACCTCTAGACTGAATTCAATATTGAGAAGGAGCTTTGGAGCTGGCTGAGGTCAAGGCAAGAGAGGAAAAGCAAAAGCAATGGGACCAAAATAAGCAAATAAGTAAGAGCGGTATATTGTAGCTGGTTCAGATGATCACAGGGTGACAAATGAGCCTTAGTAGCTTGATAGCCATGCTGCACATGCCAGTTGTGTGAAGGAGTAATCAGTGCAGTTAGTCCCAGCAGCACAGCATGGCATGTGGACTTGGTGAGAGCGGCTGTTTGCCAGGCTTAACTAGCCAACCAGAAGCCCTGGGCTGTTGGAGAGTTTGGGGGTGGCTTCTTAACCAGGGCAACAAACCAGCTTCAGGGTAATTATGCTAAACCAACAGGCACATGTGGCAGGGGCAAGAAGTCACAATGGCTTCTTTCCAAAGTAAGATCATATAAACTTGGTCAATATCAACAATACTGGGCCGCACTGACTTGATTGAAATGACAAATTTCCACTGTGGATACAGTAAGTTTCACTTGCAGAATGGAATCAGCACAGGCACGGTGGAATCTGCAAGGGCATGGTGTTCATTGGATACCACCCTAGATGTTTTATGCAGAGCTGGCTTTAGCACAGGTGGCCACCTAAAGCAGCACTTCATGAGCTCCTTCTTTCACAGCAGAAGGAAGAGACTTTCCTTCCCTAGAACTCAGGGGAGGCTGATGGATCCAATATCAGTGGGGTGGTGTATCTACTCTGATCTCAGTCTGAATCTTAAAGCTGCTATTCCATGGTATGGTACTCCCGCACCAGAAATTCCCAGAAATTGGTTCAGCACCATGGATAGTTCTTTAAACAACTCAGACTGCAGTCCAGAGTGGATTAACCGCTCTGGTTACACTGGCATCAGCAGTCTGCACTGCATATTATTGCTTTGTTGCTTACACTTTTATTGCTCAGAAACAAACTCATGATGTGGCCCCGATACTACAGGCAAGCATGCTAGAAGCAGTTAGAGGGCCAGCACCAGGTGAACAAGCAGAAGCAATCTGTTAGGATTCAAGATGCATGGAGGGGATGCATTTTATCAGCCCAAGAAATATACAGAGACCAAACATTTCCTAGCTGACTAGAATCATAACAGATATTGGGAAATCATAGAATGGATAATTTTAGACCATTAACAGAAATATTTTTTTATTTAGTGCAGAGCTGAGTACTATTTTAATATTTTGGCAGGATTGCCAAAATGCTCCAAGTCTGACTTACTTATTTCACCTTGTGGAGAAAGCATTATCAAGCATCAACAGAGTCCCAGCAAATGTCAACAACTTTTGATGGTGAACCTTGATGTGATACTTGGTAACTTGGAAGGTCTACAGAAGCATAAAGAATCATAAAATGTTTTTCTCTATTTACCAAATGTCTTCCAAATTTCCTTGAGCTATTGGTACGTGACATTTACCATGAAAAACTGGGAAATATTTATAAACCTAAAAAAACTTCATTAGTCCTTACATTTAACAGCAAAACATAATACCTTAAACTGTCAATAGGGACAAGCCTTATTTTGAAAGACAACTCCTTAACCATTTCAAAGCATTATCAGAATGTGCAATAAATATCCCTAATCTCACACATAACTCCCATGTTGACTTTATTTCTTAAAGTTCAGTTTGCCTATCCGGACATATTGTGGAAACCTGTGTGGTGATATATTTGAAAGAGTCATTGTTCATAGCTTTGCTTATATCAACATTTGTAAAAATACAGTTCTATTGGCCTTGGTTAAATAATGTATTAATAGCATCAGGAAAACACTACATGCTCCTAGTTGTTTAACCAGGACAAGATAGAAAAAGGCAAGCATTGGTACTGTGCATTTAGAATGCACAAACAAATATCAATATAGAAGCAAAACAATCCTATCCAAGATTATGGAGAGGTAAGTCCCACAATATTCAGTGGTGCATACTCACAGGTAAGTGTGCGTAGGATAGTAGTTTAAATGCATTATAATATAATAATAATAAAGCATATGTACTATGTAGGTGCTTTTGTAAAATTTCTGTAAGCCACCCGGACATTTTGTTATAGGATGGCATGGACATGACATAAATAAAGGGAATAGTGCCTTATTATAAGCACATATAGTTATGTTGATTGCAAAAAGAACTGACACAAAATGATGATAAAAATGGTAATCAGTGAATAATTTGGCTGCTAACAAAAAGTTACTATCTGATTATACTATTTTTGAGATTCTGAAAAAGCTAATAATAAATTTGCTAGTTTTTAAGGAGGCAAGAGATTCTTCATTTTTCCTATTCTAGACTAACACAGCTATCCCTCTGGAATCCAGTGCATCTGAAATTTAAGATGAATATTTGCAGTATTTAGTCTTATGAAATATTAAATGGTTATCTCTTTTTAATATTTTAATATGTAAGTTTATTATGCACTTATACACAGAGATATCATCTAAGGATCATATTTAAACTTATACAACTCAAAATCTTAAGCACACTTGTGCTGGAGATCCACTAAAGTTGGATTATCCAGTTAAATGAATTGAGGATCAACATGCAAATCCTATTAATGTCAACACTCCTCTAAATGCAATCATTTTGCAAATAGAGCTGATTGTGGTTTAAATCTACATATATAAATCCATCAAAACCTTACCTGTTTCAAATAAATAGTACTTTCTCTTGAGCACCAAATTGGTTATGAAAAAATTGTGAAATAGCCACAATTCTAAACATATTAATAGGTTTAGCATTGTGGTTTATTTTACAAGTATTTCTCTGTTTAATAGCACATATTTTATATATTTTTAAAACATTGCTGCTTTGTTACTGAGATACAGCCCTGAACATGCTGCTTTTACTGATTTACTTTTAAATCTTCCTTCTCCAATATAGCCCTAAACATTCTCTGAATTTAATACACCTTGGAAGTTTACATCAGACTGTTACCTTTGTAAGTGTCCCAGTGAGTCACTAACAGTATTCTTCACCTCTTCCTTCCCAGGCTTTAAAAATCTTTCCCTTAACGAATTAAACACCTCAAAAGGCATCTTGTCTTCCTTTTCAAAGACACTCATTAATTTAACATTTGCTTGTCATCATCATCCTTTTTTTTACAGACTTAGTCTCCCTCGGCTCGCTCGCTCGCTCGCTCGCTCGCTCTTTCTTTCTTTCTTTCTGGATGGTAATTAGATGATCTGGAAAGGATGAGTTTTAATCCTCCAAAATACTGGCTGAAGTAAAAATTTCAATAGACTCTCCCAACAACTCAAGTAGAATGGCTGCAGCTTTGTTTTCCTCTGTTGTTGTTCCACAGCTGGTAATTTTCAAAGAGGTTAATGCAAAGGACTACACCTGCAGGTTGGTAATGTGGGACCTGGTGCTTCAGCCTGCTCAGCCAACTAAAACACACTATAACTTGCTCATCCTCTTTCCCAGCTTTCTTCCACTGTCTCTCTCACACATATCCTGTGCTAGGTGATGCTATAGTAACGGAACACAATACCTGTCTCTCTGGTCACTCAAGCTTATTAATAGGATCTCATCCACAGCAAACTTTATTAAACATTTATAAATCCTCTCTCTTCATCACAGGACATGACTTATAGTTGATGCTCTGTCTTCCTATAGGCCCCCCAGACAATAGCTGTTGCTGGCCTCTTGGAAATGTATTCACCCTAGGCATGAATCTATTCAACCTAAGAATGCAATTTATGATTGACTTCATTACAGTTTCCATATGCAGAAATAGAATTGCTTCCAAATGTCACTGTATTAGTAGTCAGTAATACTTTATGCAAGTTAAGTCACATTGGTGGGTTATTAAATATTTTTTTAAAGTAAGGGAAATATTGCAGTTGGATGCAGGTTTAGGCATGTGCAATTGGGCTGGTGGAAGCAGCTGCAGTCCTGTTCCCACTAAAATGCTACAGAGAAGGTTGGAGGAACTTGCTGAAAGACATAGGGCATGGGACCTAGGATAGAGGGAGAGTTCCTCATATCAGGTAGAGCTGCAGCCTGTCTCATTTGGTAGTGTCTGATCTTCTAGCCAGCATGTTGCTGTGAGAATGATGGTGGGGAAGGGAATGATGGGAGGAAGTCTGCTTCTGCCAACAAAGTTCTATTCACAGAAATCTTGACCCAGATGAGACAAACCTAGATCTCCTCCTGTTACTAAACTTGCCAGGTTGTGTGTGTGGCTTTAATGATAATTACCAGAGTAATGGCATCACCATGTTTGGTTCTAGTTTTAATGAAACTGCACCTGTAGAAAAACTGTGCTCAAAAATGGCACTATTAGTCCACCAAAGGTAAAGTATTCTCTTTTTAGGACAACTAAGATTCTATTGTTAACTGTGTTAAAAATGTCCCTTTGATTATGATATAGATAGATTGGATGACTGAAAAAAGGCAAGAAACAGGGGCACAGTCAGGACAAACGTAAACTTGGCTGATAAGCCAAGAGCAGCAGCTGCTGCTGCACAGATGGCAGAGGGGAGGAAAACTGGGAAAGGTGGTCCCATGCAGTGGGTTGGCCTTTCCCACCCATTCACTGTCACTATGATTCATCAATCCATTTAAAGCATATGAAGCCTATCCAGGCCTCTCTAAAGGGAGGACATATCTTTACAAGGCAACTAACTTTACAGGCCCAGGGGAAGGCAAAGTGGAGGATTCAGTAATGGTAACATTTCATAATACCACTTAATGTTAAGAAGGAATGCCCTTATAACTTGCTGTCAGGGCCATCAGAAAAATTATCAGTGGTTACCCTGGAATTGTAGAATAATCCACTGGACACTCTCAGCATTCTTTAAAGCAGCCATCCCCCACCTGGTATGTTCCAGAGGTGTTTGGTTACAGCTTTCAGCATCCCTGGTGATCACCTCAGGCTGATAAGACTTGAAGCCCAAAACCTCTGAAAAGCATCAAACTATTTAAAGCTATCTGGGCCATTTTTAAGAACTTGTATTTTTAGCACAAGAGAGGGAATAATATTCACATAATTGTAAATATTTTAGTTGGAGTAGGCTCTACAGCAAATGAAGTGGGATCACTGCATAATGGTGATCAGTGTTTCCCTCCCTCCCACAAGGTTCTAACATTTATGAGCTTCAAATTATAACAAATTATATATCCACCCCTGCCACTTGACCACACTTGCTGTGCCCTAGACAGTTCTACCTTCCCTAGCCTTCAGGATCACTCATTTAGTTGCTAGAAATTATACCCCCTGGTTGAGGGATGCTGGAGTTGCGGTCTAACACATATACAGGGCACCTGGTTGGGAAAAGCCAGGGAAAATTCAACAAGTTGAATATACAGTGAGGCATAATTCCAAAAGTATGGCTCCATGACCACCTTCAAACTGTAGTTCTTTTAGTAGTGGGGGTGTTGGTGGTAAGGTGCTTGTGTGAACAAGTTGAATGCCACCAATCTAGCCAGATAACAGTACCCCCATTTTGTCTACATTGAAATTTGTACCATTTCAGTATATAGGATAAAGCTCAGGCAAATCAAAACTCCCGGCATGCAGAAAACATGTTCTCATTTCAAATACAACATTTTTCTAGGATCCTATTACATCCCTTTTTAGTCTGCCAGTTTAAATAAATAAATAAATATTATCAGCCTTTTAGCTCTGATATACCAATTACCTCACAAACAAAAGTGAATCTTTACTGGTTGTAAGCCGCCCCGAGGCTTCGGCGAATGGGGCGGCATAAAAATGTTTTAATAAATAAATAAATAAATAAAAATCTTTAAGATTCTTTCATTTACCTTCAGGACTTTAGTAGCTTAAGATTTATAATCTTGTAATGATCAATTATTATTAAAATTAGAAACATGCTAAGCTACAATGCAGAGATGAACTTAAATAAGATAACAGAACTGTTGTACTAAAATTTATTTTTGGAAATTGCCTCCAATCATCCTACTTTCCCTACTTTTTGAACAATAATCCCATTAATTCTAAATGCACATTAAAGAAACACATGAATACAGATGTTTGTGGATTGCAGTTCATTAAAAATTCTCTTTCAACTATTGCTTTTTATGCAACTTGCATATACATTTACTTAGCAAACAGTTATATGAAACATACTTCATGCATTAATAAATTCATGGAGTATTAATGAAACAATGTACATGAGCCTACTTTGAAATAAATTTGAAGTTGTAGTCATAAGAACTTTAATCAGTGTAACTTTCCATTCATTTTCATAGGGTTCAAAGTTCCTAGATGGATTATGCACTACATTAATGAAGTCTGGATGTTAAAATATGTCATGAAACTACATCCAATGAAGTATATCTAGAATTATTCAAATCTCTACTACATTACATTCTATATCTTGCTCTATTCTTATGCAATGGTGACATCTTATGGAAATTTTAATCCATTTACTTTAAAATATTTTGGATAGGGCTATGTTATTGTTTTTGAGATCCATAAAGCATAGATTCAGATGCTCATTTTTGTTTTATTTTCAGGTTAATAGGAATATACCACCTCATTTCAAAATACTGAAATTTTACTCCTAAATATTGCATTAACAATATAAAGGAACACACACCACTTTCCACCAGTTTCCAACCTGGAGTGGTCAATCCTGTTAAGGTATTTACTGCAAAATCCTGAAAAGCAAGCAGGGTTTGCTCTATTTTAAAGAGTAAATCATGATTGGTCTTGGAAAATTACACACAGAATTTCTGAGTATTACTAGAGGGCCATATCTACAAACTTCACATCGCTGTTTTAAGTATGTACTTGTATATATTAAACTGTTATTAGTTAAAATGTTCATTTGATTAGCATGCCAGTCTGTTTAACTTTTATGTATATCATGTTTAGCAGGTAACATTAACAGCCGATGTATGAATGGACAGGAACTGTTTCTTTTCTGTTCATTAATTTACATATCTATGACTTTCATACTTTGTGAAAACATTAAAAGTTTTAACTTGAAAAGATACTGTATTCTCATCTGAGAAGCTGAAAATACGAAACAAAAACTTTATTTCATTAATGCAACATCATTCACAAATTGAAAACTACAGTTCTTCATTCACAGTACAAAGTGGTAGGAATTTTTGTAAGCATTACTGTACATTTTACATATTTTAACTATTACCAATTTTAAAAGTTGATATAAAGAATAGATTTGTTTTGAAGAGCAGCCAAGTCCAATGAACCAAAATAGAATTTCATGCTCTAACAGTTCTGCCGATTATAAACCACAGCAACACTAGAGGCATACCACCACTTTACACACACAACTTTGAATGCCTTGTTTAAACATAAAACCTGCCACTACTACTAAGGACTGTACAATTAGACAGGCATTAAATATTTTGAATCAGGCCTGAGTTCAATCCATATAAATCAATTTTCTTAATAGAATTTCCAATGTGGGAGCTTTATACAATGTGTAGAATTGCCTGAAATTTAGTACATCTACAAGATCTAGATTAAAATCTAGGATTGAAAGTGAATGTAATCCTAAATTTATAGTCAGTTTTGGTTTGCATTTAGATTAATGCATCCTGGTTCAGGGAATGAAATATTAGTGTCTGTTAACATTGTCAACAAGAAAGACGCAGGTAGCATACAGTAGCAGTGTAATTCTACAGATGTACACAGAAGTTCAACTGAGTTTGGTAGAACTTATGTGGACATGCTTATTGGATTCCAGCCTGTGTTTCTGATAACTAAGTTTTTTAAATGTTTCCATAAACAAATTTAAATTCAGAATATATCCTCAAGGAATCAATTTTGAAAAACATGACCAGGAGTGGGAGAACAGTTGTTTAGGTTAGATATATCCAACTCATGCTGGATAGATTGATGCAGCCATAGCATACATATTTTTTTTCCTGTGAAATTTACCTACTGAAATTGGTAAGCCAATCTTCACAAACTGACACTCTCACTGAAATAAAATATTAAAATTCAGAAATGTACAAATAATAACATTGCCAATTTTCTTTTACTATAATGTGGGTATCCTTGATGTAATAGAAAAAATGGCAAGAACACATTGTAATATTACTGAAACATTACTATGTCTGGATTTTATTATCCATATGCCATATTATTGCTTTACAGCCAGATTTGAAGCCATAGTTTTTATTTTTGTATTTTAAAAATTATGAACTGTAGAATTTCAGAACATAATCACAAGGGTGAGTTTCTATTTAATCATCCTAATTGGGGGATGGGGTGAGGAGAAATGGCCATGAAAAAAGTGAATAACATGAGCTTTTTCTTAAATGATGTGCCTTTCAACCTCCTTTGGCTGCGGCCATCTGAGGCATGGAGAATATTACTCATCTTGCAGACAAAGAAAGTGGATTCTTTTTGTCTTTGTGGAAGAAGAAAAAATGAACTCTGATGAATATGCTTTCCCTCTTACTGCTTGTTCTAGCTAATTATGCAGTTGGAAGACCATACTGCTCATGTTCTTCCTTAGAATTAGGGACTCGATTTAACACTTTGGTTAAATTTCAAGTCATATAGAGTAAATAGCTAAATGCAGAGGGAAAGTGGCAGATAATCTTATAAAAACCTTCCTCTACTTTTTCAAATTGCGTAATAGTTTTTGTATTCAAAAAAATTCAGGAAGCCAAATATAGGAGAGAATTATAGCTTACTTTCACTATTTAAAACCATACTTCATACATTGTACACTAAACTGGGAATGTATTTATTGTCAAGCATTTACACTGAGCTTTTCAACTTCCTTCACATTAAGATGGTCTTGTCAACAATCACTCTAGCAACACCTGTCAAGACTTCTAAAGAAGTATGTATCAGTATGTATTTCACTTGATATATCAGTGAAAATTTCCAGTCATTATGAAAAAGTGTCTCTAATAACATATTCCATGCATGCCATTGAGCCCATAGCAGTTCATTTGCTTGGCCCACTGTAAATGAAAAAGTCATCTGCTAGAAAAGCAGCTCTGTAGATTAAATCAGATAAATTTTCATAAGCTTAACAGATATCCACTCCCAACAAGTCTAATACAGTTTTAATATAAGTTGACCTATATGCTTGGCAACTTTATGTAAGCTGGAGAGCTGGACAAATATTTCTGCCAGCAGTTTGAACTTTGCACTTTCTTATGCCATACATTTACACAATTAAAAATCAGGAAGTTTTACTTTTTTGGGAGGAATCAATTTTAGGAAGCAGAGAATAGTTCACATATTACATTTAACAAATAAATTTCTTCTTCACTGGTATCTTCTGAAACTTGGCACTATGGAGTTATAAGCAGCAAAGACATAAAAATTAGATATAACCACATACCAAAGTTCTTCACACACTTTATGCTGCTGACCATACAAGACATTTTCCCATTACAGATGGTTGTAAGGATACATGGAGCAGAGGACTGTGTAAGTTGCCTTGGGCTCCAAAACAAGAGAAAAAGGCCATATATAAATTTGATGTAATAATAATTCATAGATTATATTTTCTGCTTATAGTCTTAACTTGGCTCACTGTAAGCTATCACAATCATTTGTAAATCTTTATAGGCTGTCATTATTTCAGTTAGGATCAAAGCTCTGTAAGGTTATTCTCTGATGATGTAGCAGTGAAGTATGTTATTTGTATTGACAAAGGTGATTCTAAAGAAAACTGTTCTGTCTCTGTATTTGACAGGCTTAAAAAAAACCTAAAAGTCTACAAATCATTATCAAAAGAGTTAGTAACTTTCAGTGATAATTTTACTTAATTTGTGAGAATGAGATATTATAATAAATCATTTGTAGTCCAGTTTGTATTATAGATGCTTGTTAGGAAAATTCTGCCTTTCATACTGCATTTTTTTTTGTTCAGTTGGGGAAATTGCTTTAAAACATTCATGTGAAATGTGAGATTAAGAAACCTGGAGACCATACAAGAAGCTATATGTACACCTAACACATTTAATAGTCATAATTTTACAATGCTACGTAGCTAATTAAACATAGTTCAGTGAGAGTATCAACAGTACATAAATAACACAAGTGTTTGTTTTTAAACACACTATCACTGGTCCCAAAGATACAAAATAAAAATTACTAAGGCAGCAGCTATAATACAAATTTCTTAAGTTACAATTAACAGCATTACTGCTAAAAATTGGAAATATAATGTAACAAAATACAACTCACATTTACAGCATAAGGCCCTTTGGTATCTTAAGCAGCAAACGGAAACAATTTAATCAATGAAAGGCTTTGAAAAATAAAGTGTGTAGGCATACTATTAAAAAAGTAACCAATTCTTTCTTTCTCAAAATAGCCAGCAATTGTCCAAAGCATTATATAAGAAAGGTCCCAAAATGCATAAGAATTTAACGCCCAGTAGAAATAGCTGACAAGATAATGATACACAAAGTTGAATAGTTCTCTCATATTAAGCAGAACACATTGCTGCTTCTTGTTCAGGGGAAACTTCTAAATTTGGAACACTACCACAAGGGAGATGTAAAGTGGTTGTTCATACCAAACCCTATCTTAGAAAAGCTTAAAAGTCTTTCAGAAGGCCTAGATTAAACAGGCTGACTTAGCAGATTGTTCAGTTTTCTTGCTTTATAACTGCTCTACTGACATTTATCAACTGCTATCAAATCTCAATCTATAACAACTATGTATATCAGAGGGGTAGCAAAGTCATACTTTTGTCTCAGAAGTAGCCAGAAGTTTTAAGTAGTAGTTCCAGCTCTTTGCATATTAGTAAACCAAAACTTTACTTTAATAAGTGTACTTCCTAAATTCTAAAAGTGATCCATTTTGCTTCTAGGATTATCTGAAATACATTTCTTTTCATTAATTTGCCCTTGTATTATTTTAGCAAATAGATGTCTACTATAAACATAGGCATGATTTAAGTTACTTTATTTTTAGACAAATCTTCAGTATCACCTTACCAATGGTGTTGCTTTAATTGTACTGATTGACATTTTGGCATTAGAAATAGGCAAGCTATGCAGAATGGCCATCTTAGCAGTATTTTTCATAAGAAAGCACTCATCCCTATCCCTTGAATACCAGTCCTTTCCCACATAACTTATTTGCTTTATGGGAGGCTACTGCTTACAAGGTGAACCACTGTGCACTTGTCATTTCATTAAAATTATTTCATCTCTTAGAAGTTCCATACTAATACATGCATCCAACTATAAGCCATCCCATACCAAGATGTATTTATAATTCAATATTGTACCAATTCAGACAATTCAAAATCAACAAGAGACAAGGTTTTAGCAAAGCTTGAAGACTTGTGTATTCGGTAGCTCCAACAGAAGATCAGCAATTACAATCTATCTGCTCATGTTTATTTGCAAGTTATTTATTTGTAGATGTACGCAGCAGTGAGGGGGGAGGAAGTATGTAATTTCCAGTTTTCCATAACTTCGGGCTTCCAGATTGATACAACCTGACCTCAAAACAGTAAAATTAGGGGACTAGGACCACTCAGTGCCTAAGGAAATTAAATGGACAGGCAAATGGACAGGTATTACTACATCATCCTGGAAACAGTTTTTGTCTTGCCCAGTTTTGCTAGATGAAGTTGCCTCAATTCGACTTTTTACCAGAAATAGAGATATTAAATCAGTTTGCTCACAATTAAAAAGATTACCCAAAGAGGTCTTTTAAGTCATTGCTAGCCGAGCTGCTGCTTGTTATGTTGCTTGTTGTTTGTGTAAAGTTTTGAGGACTAAAGAAAGGATTTCCCTGCATGCCAAAGCTGGGTTGTCCCATTACATTCATCTGTGCTCCTGAAGCAGAACTGTTGGCACCTTGAGGAGGTACAAACTGATTAAGCCACTGGTTTGTTTTTTGTTGTGACATTTGATTCATACTAACTTTGGGTTTTTGAGGCCCAAACAGACTATCTAAGGCAGACATATCTGGTGGCCTGCTTTGCTGTGCAGGCTGTGAAACTGCAGTTGTAGTGCTCATAGGATTATACGGTGGCATAGATGCTGCTGGCAACATACTCATGTTGGCCATTCCAGGGACACTAGAATTACCGAAGAAATTCTGGCTTGTGGTACCAATCCCCATGCCAAATCCAGAAGGCTGAAATCCCATATTAGCATTTAGTCCATTTCTCTTAGTGCTTTCAACAGGTGATGAAAACCCTAATCCAATATCCACTGAAGAAAAGCTACTTGAAGAAGGAACTTTAGGTTTGTTGATAGATTGGTTGGTCAATGATGCCATGTTATCTCTCAAAGTATCAGTCAAGTCCTTTGTCTGAAAGAGACAAAAATTTTTTAGAATACTTAACAATGCCATCAATGATTTGCAGTTCAAGAACAGATGGCAAGGAAGCAAAGTCATTTTAGGCACAAGGAACACCACTGCGTATGTGCAGCTTAAAGGGGAGTTTACAGAATCAATACATATGGTTATATTTCTAAAATATCCAGATTGATTAGGGTACATACTTCCAAGTACATAACTATTGCTTCACTCCAGCCCCTTATTTTGGCTAATATTTTACTTACTGTAGAGTCAATCAGTCTCTCTATTGTACAGTCTCCATAGCTAATAGCACCATAACAGCAGCAAGAAAAAAAAGCACAGACTGCCAGAATAAGCAACTGTCATTTAGAAACTGTTTACCCCTCATTGTTTCTCTGGGATAAGGAGAAATGTCCAATTCGAAGCAATAAGCTGGTACTCAAGAACAACCTTGGAGAAGAGTCTAATCCCCAATTTGGGAGGATCTTCCAGGGAGATGGGAGAACTCCTAACATTAGATACCTTTCCCAAAGTGGTTTTCTCTACAAATGAGGAAAGATCCACTTGGGATCCTTATAAAGAAAAAGTAGTTGGTGTTTAATCATGTAATGTCACCTTACCTTAAAGTTTACCAAAATATGTTTTGCTTAAAAGCCATATTACATAAATCCAGCTTTGTCATTTGAGGTGCAAAGCATCAACTACAGTTGTGAGCCTACCTGACATCTCTTTGTGCTCTGAAAACCCCTAAAGTAGACTATTGCAATTCAGTGTATGTAGGGCTGCCTCTGAAGATGGTTTGGCAACTACAATTATTACAAAACACAGTAATAAGATTACTGACTTGGGTCTCATCCAGACAAGTTGCTTTTATGTCCCATTGAAGTCTACATTGAAAGGTTAGTTATAAATCAGTGCTCATTGAATCAGTGGGAACTAAATACAACTGACTGAGTCTGGGTCTAACTCATACAGCATATCTTGCTAGTCTACAAATCAAAGCACTGGTGATTATATTTCAAGTGCTATATGGCTCAGAACCAGAATATGTGAAGGGCTACATATTCCCAAATGAACCTTCCCATATGCTGAACTCATCACTGGAGGCTGAGTTTGAACAGACAGTGACAGATAGAAAGCATTTTAGCCTTTTAGATTGCGCCACTCCACCTCTGCAGTATTTTACCTGATGCCTGCTCTTCTGTCCTTCTGACACAAAGCAAAGTCCTTTGTGTTTTCCCAGGTCTTTCAGTACCTGATTTTATTTTGTTGCTGATTTGGCTTTCCTGCTTCTATTTTTTTAAACTATTCAGCTAACTCTTTTGCGTCCATATCACCTATTAAAGTGGCTACTTTGGATACACACAGAAAAATGCAAAATGAAAAGATTCTCAACTATTTGAAGTCATCCAAGATGGAACATATTTTAGTGTTCAGGGGCTTTAAGACAAAATATTACCATGAAGAATTCTTTCACACCCCTGCATCCATACCTGTTTGACTGGAACACTGACTGCATGAGGCTTTGGCTTAAGTGGCTGCTGACTCTTCAGTTTCTGTGCCTGTTCTTGTTCTTTTGCTAACCTTTGCTTCTCTTCTAGTGTAAGCGATCCCTGAAAAAGAGTATACTTATTAGTAGATAACAGACTTCACAGTGAGCTAGTTTGCATGATATGACAGTTCATCATAGAATAATTACACATGGGGTGTACTGCATGGTGCTGGTTACCTACAGGCACCACTCATGGCCCTAATCTCTGGCACTGACTATTATCCAGTCCACGCTTCAATTGGTTTGCTGGGTGGGTGGGTGGGTGGATGTAGGGACTATGTCTTTTCCAGGGACATGCTGCTATCTTAGATAGCCAAAACTTAAATAAATAAATAGGTAAGGGAACCCATTCCTTTGTTTGAGGGTTTAAAGTCCTAATGTATTTATTAGGATTGTAAATTAGCCGAGAATGCACCAGGGGTTTTAAATGTTTTTTTTCTTTTAAATTGTTATACTGTTATTGTTTATGTATTTTTTTTGTATTTTTTGTGAGCCGCCCCGAGGCTTTGTTGCGATGGGGGCAGCATAGAAATGTTTTAAATAAATGAATGAATGAATGAATGAATGAAAGCCTGCCATACTGCTGAAAGTAAACAAATGTATTGAAATGTATCCTGTCTGTATGCCATCTTTTACTAGGTAAAGCACTTTGCGAATTATTTGCTGAGAAATGGTAGAAAAATATACTAATATAAATAATTCCATCAGACTGTAAGAAAGGGAGAGACCAGTGATACAGTCATTTCATTGCCTCTTCTGGGATATAAACTCTACCAAGCTCCTCCTTCAGGAGTCACTAGAACCAGCCAATCCACCAGAAGGAGCAAAAGGAAGTCAGGTCACTCCACTGCATTTGCTGAGAGACCAGCTCCATTAGAACTGTTTCTATCCCAGCAGGTTATTATTAGGACTTTGTATATTTAAGAAATGATGTCTGAGTCTTTTTGTTCCTGTCTTTCTTTTTATGTTATCTTTTAGATTTTAAGCTTGAGATTAGTGCCTGCACACTGCACATCATTTTTTTTACTGATTTGCAAGCCACTGTGTGAAGCTTTTTCATTTGAAGAGAAGCTTAAATTTGTTAAATAATGTAATTATTAAAAGTCACTCCAGTTTAACTACATTGATCTCTTTAACAGTGAAAATATTTTTATAATATTGGAATTAATATTTCAATTATGTCTCTACTTCTCAGTATCAAATATCATGAAAAACATTCCAATTACTTCAACTAGAAAAAGGCAAGCAATATCTGGTCCTGCTTTTCTCATTCTTATTTTTAAAAAAACCCCAAAAACACAACAAGCAGAACCTTTATAGATCTAGATTATGAACCCATATAATCCCTAAGGGTCAATACCAGCCTAGGGTCAAGAAACTAGAACTGGCTAGACACTTCAGAAAACTAAGGGCAGCCTGGTTTAGGACTGTACCCCTAATAAGCTTACAGATGCTGATCTCCTTCGTACAATAAATTGATATTAAAAACTCACCTTCTTCTGATTTGTCAGGAGTCCATTCTCTTTACAGTTGGATCCACTTGTTAAGATATCAGTTCCTAGACTGCTAAACACTTTGTCAATCTATTCAAATAAAACAAGATTAACAAAACTTTAACCACAGAGAGCTAGCTTAACCCAACACTGGATTAACCAAATATAGATAGCTTCTTACCTGACTTCCTGTACTACTGCCTTTTGTTTCTTCAGGTATGCTTATTGGATTAGTAATATCCAAAGTCCTGTACCACAAAAATGCAATTATAACAAGCTATCATACACAATTTCAGCCTTGAAAGCAACCCAACAAAAATGTGGATTACATGTCTCAAGTTATACCAAGATAAATGGCAAATGGTTTGCTGTGATTTTCTGATTTAAAAGCATTAAAATAAGTACAGAGGAAAAAACCAATATAAATTATAAAACAATGGGGAAAAGTGCAATCCTGTGGTTGCTGAATAGGGACAATCTGTGAGTGAGGAATCACTCCACTGCTACTGTACTTGTGCCTGAGACAATTTTACTGACTGTTGTAGTTATCTGTTAGAATGCAATGTATTTTACTGTGTTGCATTGTATGAATTTTTATTGTGTCTTTTATGGTTGGTTCCTTTTTATTCTTATATATTCTTTTTGATCTGTACATCACACAGAGAGGCTTGAAGGGCTATGGGAGTAGTATATAAATGTTTAAAAACATATATAAATGATAGGATGGGGTAGTTTGGCTTTTCCCATTTTCACAATTCCATGATTGGGGCAGTTTCTTTCCTGTTGGGGGGCATGGAAGGTAAATAAGGGAGGATGGATCTAAGGCCTCCTTTAATCTGTCACTAGCATGTTATTTTTCTTTTTAATACCATTACAAACACATCTGATAGTGGGAAGATGGTCACAGAGACCAAGAAGGCCTTTGCCAGCAGTATTCCCTCTCTGCCTGCAGACACCCACCCAAAGACAGAATTTCACACAGGAAGATTTTTATATATTAGCCAGTCTTCCTTAAGAGCCCTTATATTACTTAATGAAATAACAATGACATAAGGGTGTGTTATCACCCTTTAAATTACCTGGGCAATATGCCTGGAAAGAAAGCCTATGTTATCGAGTGATAACTTCCATATGCATCCCAATTTAATCTCTTTTAGATTTAATTAAAATAATTAAAGAAAGCTAAATAAAATGTGAGAAGACATAATATACAAAGTATACTCAAACTAAATCTGACTATACCTTAAGCTGAAACAAACATGTTAAATAAGAGAGTTATCTGACCATATTTCATGTTTAAACAATCCAAACTAACAATAGGGCTACTGTGGTTGATCTGGAACATGACATTCTTTATTTAAATTAGAAGGAGAGACAGAGATAGGTTTTCCATATTCAAGGTGCCCAGGTGCAAAGCTCTGATCAGCTGTGACAGTCTGGCAGCTAACTCAGTTCACATAGGTATTGTGAGGCTTAAAAGGTGTTCTAAGTGTTCAGAACAAGTAAGGGAGAGAAGTAACTAACCATCATAGTATCCTTCAAAAATGGCTTTGATGGTGAGATTGATACAGTTTGACAATTCCATAATATGGCCAACACTGGAAACTGGAAGATTATGCCAGAAATACTAAGGGTACAATCCTACAGCCTTCCAACATCATCTGGATGGCCAGAATTCTTTGGAGACCCAGCTCCAAGATCCTGCTATCTCAGTATAGGAACTGTGTGGGTCAAGCCATTGTGCAGAAAGAACTGCACCAGTGAGCCACCCAAGATGGCAACTAGTCTGTGGAGAAGGCAGAAACGGGATCCCCAAGGGTATGAGGCTGGGGCTGATAGCTTACACTGATTCATATAAGGGTGCCAGCCTCTTTTCCTCATCGGCACTTTATCTAGATGGCCAAGAAAGACCATCTAAATAAAAGGCAATGTGCAAGATATCAGAAACCTACCATTGGATGCTCATAAACATCTGACTTTGGAGGCTTAGGTGCATGTGCTGATGGTGTGGCTAGATTATGTCCTAAGTGTAAAAGCTTTTATCCAAATGTAAAACAATAAATCCTTAAACTGAAAACATTACAGGAGCCTATTTTAAACACATTATTAGAGACTACAGTAATATAATATGCAATTCATGGTAACTACATGATATTATGCATACTTACTTTTGTTGTTCTTGCATAATATGGATTTGTTCAAGTTTGGTCTTGTGTTCAGCTTCCAGTCTGCTTAACATCTCTTTTATGACTGAAATGAAGGAATTAAACTAGAAAAGAAATGTGTTTTACAATATGAGGATAATTTTATCAGAAGCCTTCTAATATTGAATAATGTATCAAAGCAAAATCAAAGTAATTGAACTGAACAAGACATAATTAATGCACAAAGAACAGACTGAATTTACTGCACAATCCTATTCCACATACTCAGCAGTAAGTCCCACTAAGTTCAATGAGACCAGTCCCAAGTAATTTTAAAATGAATAAATTTATTTTTGCTATTATTTTAAGGATGTGTCACTATTATAAGCTGATTGTGTTATATGAAAAAAGGAGAATTTGCCAAGAGACAGTCAAGCTAGTTCTTCATTCATACATATATTTTTCATAAGCAAAATAGAGCAATGTATAGCAACTACTGCAATTTCTCAGGACCAAGTAGAGGCCAAAAAGAGCAACAAGAGTTTTGAAAATATTTCTATTCTTCTTTTCTTTTCTGAACAACTCCCTTCACTCTCTAAGTAGCCAGCTATGGAACAAAACCCTCAATAAAATTATTAAATAAGGCAAAAATCACTCAAGTAAATGTGAATTAGATTGGTTTTAAAATTAAAAGCAAATGAATGTCTTCCTCATCCTTAGTCCAGTAACTCCAAAGAGCCATGCAAAGGACTGTGTTGTTGTTTGGACAGCATTTGAGCATTGCTATCTAGTACACTAAAGGCATATTTAAGATATTAAAGAAATATAATCCTATACGTGTTAAATTCAAGGGGACTTACTCTCTAGTAAATGTATATAGGATTACAGATTAAGGGTGAATGCCTTCAGCCCTATTCTAAGTAGGCCCTATTAAAATGGGTCTCGATATTTTTTCCAGCTTTCTGAAAAAGTACAAATATCTATAACTTGTTATCAAGTATTTCTAAGAAATATAAAGGCAGGAGGCACTGCAATGGTGTTACATATGCACCCAAACTTTTCCGCTTCTTTTATTCTGGTAGCAGACCTCTGAAATTCAGATGACCCTCTGTAGCAACAGTCAATGAGGGTTTGCTCCTGGAAGGGAAAATGTAGTTATTCCACCCTGTACTATTCCATGTGTACATAGATGCACTTTGCAAGTTTGTTTAAAAAAAAGCTGGGAAGAGAACCCAAATGCAATGCTTTAGCTGAGAGAATCTTGCAAGTAGTTTTAGAAATATGCATTTGATCCTTGGTTACTTTTAAAGCTGAGAGCCTGTAAAAAAAGAAAGTAAATAAGTCCATCTGCTAGATAGAGGTCTTTTAATGGATACTCTCTCAGTACCAGGATCAGAGGAAGACAGATTTCCATCAATAAGTGCAGATATATTTTATGTCAAGTTCTTAAGTCAGAATAATACAGGATATCTTTAAAAAGTGAACAGTGTTTATAAGCCCAGAATACATGGAATTCAATAGCAGCAACAAAAAGGAACATGGTCCATGTTATTTGTGCTGTCCAAACAAATACAAAGAGTAGAATAGAAAATGAATAGTATATATGGACAAAAATTTGCAGTATTTCCTTTGGAAGTAAGCTCATGATGATGACATAAAAGTATAAAAAATTTAAAAATAGTGATCCTACCTGATTTAGGTTAAGATTGTTCTCAATGCTGAGAGGAATCAGATGGGGCAGAACCTTTCCAGCAAGTTGCTCTTTTGTAATTCCCAGTTTCTTGTGACTAAATGTGCATTTGTAGATACCTAATTTGAATCATTAAGCATAATGATTTAGCCATTGAACTTGCCATATTAAATTGTCATCATTACATATTCCTTTGAAAACAAGGCTAGTATCAATGGGAAAATATTTAAAAACATGCTTTAATCTGCACCTTATGTAAAAACATATGAAATATTTGGCATTTTTTGGAACAAAGGGATGGGGAGACAGAAGATAGTGAAGTAATTACAGCTGCAACTATGGACACCAGCATGAATGTGAACAATTAAGAGAAATCTGAACAGGCTGTGACCAAATCGAAAGAAGAGTAGAAAAAATAGGACATTAAAAGATTGATACAAATCATAGTCTATTATATATACAGCATTGCCTTTGAAACCGTGGACTTCAATACTACAAAGATTAACGTCACAGTACAAGAAACAGAGAATCGTGTTACCTAGAATTCCCATAAGGACTGCAGGCTCCTTGGAAGGAATTTGTTGCAAAAAAGGCAGAATATCATCAAGAACGAACCATTTATCCAAGTATTCCAAAATCTTTCCCAAACAGACTAAGGAATTTACACGTACCTAATGAATACAGAAACAAACCCTCTAAACTATATCCATAGCATTACTGGCATCATTTAAATAAAGTTTATGCCGATGACAACTCAGGCATGCTTATTACTATTTTTAAAAAATTCTCAAGTTCTGTTGTATTAAGTCACCACGACAGAGATCTTTGATACAGATTATCTGATGGATTTCTCAGGAGACATTTGCAGCTGTAGATATAATCTATATCCAGTTCTTTAAACTGTACTTTGAGTGTTCCATGCCCCTACCCTGCCCATTTTGTGCAGGGTTCAGCATTGAACCATCACCAGCAGGGAATATGGAGAAGATTCATATTCTCTCAACTTGCATATATCGTCCTGCAGCCTGCTTCTCAAACACCACTTTTGATTTTACCTTGATACGGGGCTCTTGCAAATTTCCATTTGCAAGCATTTATGATAGGAAAATCAAAAGCCTCAAATAAGAGTACATTAGGAAATGCTGATTGTCAGCAGTTTTAGCCAAAAATATTTTGTGCAAATTTATTTTATTGTATTTTATTTTATCATGGGGTATATTTGTAATTCTCTATTATATAAGCCCTTTTAAGAACAATTTCTATGTATATACTCAACATAGGACATGCCCTCTGGCCCCATCCCAACATCTGTTCATTCAAATACACAGTTGGAAAAGTGTGGAGCTTACAATTGTGCAGTTGTATGCATGTGTATGTTTCCTCACTATCAGAAACCCTCTACAACTAGGGCTTTCTAATGGTGAGGACATCCTATCGGCATACAGCACTACCTGCATAAATTCCTGCTTCTAATACAAGGTGAGGGAATGGGAGACATGGTGATGTCAAGGAACATGATCCCAATTCTCCCTCCATATGTTGGATGTGTGCGTGTGTGTGGTGAGGAGAAGGAACTTAATCTGAATCTTCTTAAAGTATAATTTGCAATTGAAGCAGCTTGCAGTGAAAAAACAAACCTAGGAAAAGAATTTGAAAACTGGGGATGGTGGGAGCACAAATACAAAGGAGACACAATTGTTTCAGCTTAACTCTGATTTGCAATATAATGTTAATCCATGGCTTAGTTAAACTTGCTGGTTGCTGAGTTCCAGGTTGTTGGTAATGTGTAAATCCAGCTGTGCTAGTCAAACATGGTTTATTATCCATAAACAATCCACAAAGAGAACCCCAATTTGTTTGATTGAAATTGCTGTGTTGTTTAAACCATGGGTTGTTAAATGTGAACTGAGAACTGTGGGTTTTTCACCAAGCTACAGAGGGAGCAGACAACAAACAGACCAAAAAAACCCCAACCCAGTATATCACAAAGTTATTTGAAATATACTGAGGGAGCAGGCAAAGGGGGAGGGAAAAAACCTAGGGACTGTGAAAATAAATCATAATTTGTTCCACCATCTCCTAGTCAAACCCTGGGTAGTGCAACAAAACAATCATTACATGAACCATGGATTAACATTATATGCAAACCAGTTCATTGTTTTAACGACTTAATTTCATAGAAGTCAAATATCAGTTACTTACAGCAAGAGATGATGTTTGTAAACATGCATTTTTAATTCTTGGTATCAGGGAATTTTTCATAGATGGATAGTCTATAAGGTTGGCGAATGTAGGAATTATATTTAAGCAGAGTTCCTGCAAATGAAAGTACCATAATTATATGTAAAATACTATATGGTTTGCAATTTAAATTGTTTTTAAAACTAATTCATTATTTAGCTCTTAGATCATACTTGTATCTCAACATCACTAAAAACTAAGTCACTTAATCATCAGAAATATTATAAAGCATGAATGCGTTTATTTAAAATGAAACACAGATGTAAAGTTTCCATCATTGTACAAAACATCCTATATCAAGTATTCCTCTGGTAACCAAACATTCAGAAGAAGCCTATTCACTTGAATTATACATGGGCCATGGGCCTTCTTCCTACAAAACAGGTTTGAGCTTCTATTGTTTTTAACATTTTAATGGTATGCTGCTCTTTGAGAGCTTTTCTTAAATGTGACACAGACAAATAAAAGATACAAAGAAGGAAGAAAAAGAGGTTTCTTTCATACATGCAAAAGTTGCACGAAAAAACAAAGTTACCAAACCTGTATCTGAATTGATGGTGCTTCTAATGCTCTATAAACCATTGGGAGAACACTGTTTTTTATTTCATCTGGAGGTGTTTTGGTTAGCAGCAAGTCCATTTTTTGAAGAAATATCAACAGAATCTGTTTTCAAGAAATATTTACATGTATCAAACACTGTATTTTTGTTAATTACTTCCATTGTAATACTTGCTAATAAATTGTTTTCAAACATTAATGTAGACATAGCAAATGCATTCACTCACCATGTTGCTAGCCTGAAAGCATGGAAAGCAAGAATATCTAGGCATTAACTTCTGTTTTACTTAGTATGCTTAGTAATTATCTTATAGAATGGAGTACACCCATAAAATGTAATATTCTAGAATGACAAATAAGAACTCTGTCTTTTCACTAAATATGTCAAGGCTGTATTTTTCTCCACTCCTTCCAGGAAGATAAGACAATGGCCTTTTAGCTAAAATGTTTATTAAAGTTAATGAAAGCCAATCATACTGGCCTAGAAGTACAAATGAAATGTATTGCAAAAGCCAGTCACAAAAAAAAAACAAGCATAGCAAGAATACTAGCTATTAGGGAAGTGTGATCTATTGGCATCAATTTGGCTCCAAACTGAATACCCCTTCCTCCTTCGAAACTCAAATTACCCACACATGACTCTATGACAGATCCTGTAGCCTCAAGGCCAAATGCTTGGAACATCCAACACTTCTTGGCTGATCTGCCGTCCTCTTCATAAGCAAGTTCACTTTGCCTTCCCATGCTGTCTGAAGCTGAGTGGCTCTCAGTTACAGTTTGGCTTATCTCAGTATCTACTGGACCTGGAATCCTAGCCAAAGATTCCAAACCTAGCACCTCACCTTAATCTGCACCTATTCTCACATACCTGGAAAGTTCTTTTGCAGAAAAAATGGTCCCGACCCCTATAAATTCCCCTACTGACACCTAATCTATTCAACTGAACCACAGTTAGCCTACTGATGTATGTATGAGGATGGGTTGCATGTTGACAGATTGGATCTGTTTTAAGAAGATATAACTGCTTAAGCTTTTTATTTCAGAGCACCAGTTACTAAAACCAGAGAAACAGGAATCTTGAACTTTATGACACAATGGCAGTTAGCCATAGTGAGCTACAGACTAGTCTTTGGGTCAAAAAAAAAACCTAGATCCAAATCCCCTTTCAGCTATCAAGCTCACAGGCTGACAATGAACCAGTCACAGTCTTTCAACATGTCACTAACTTATAGGATCATTGCAAAGATAAAAGGGAATGAAAGAAAGAATCATTTATACTGCCTGAGGCCTTTTGAAAAAATCTACCGACTAGAAAAATTATGCAGGTATAACAATGCAAAAGATAATACAAAACTATGCTAAAAATAATGATAAACGTATAAGAGTAGCAGGAACAGTAAAATACTTGTTTAAAAGTATGAGTGGACAGAACTGTCTTTGTTGCCTATAAAAGACAAGCAAACAAAAAAAGAGCAATGCAGCTAGGCACACTTACTCCTGAAAGGCTGTTCCAGGTTATGGGCCCCGTACCTTAAACAGCCCATCTCTACTGCCCACTTGCCATACATATGTTGAGAAATCTGAGAAAACCCTCAAAGGTGGATCATCCTGCTCAGGTAGGATCATATGGGAGAGAGCTATTTTTGAAATACTCTGGCAGCAGACCTCTTTTGATTCTATTTATAGGAAATGCTGGATAAAAATGTAAAAAAATTTGTGGTGAAAAATTCTTAGAAAAAAATCTCAGCCACATCAGTAGCTTTGAAATAAGGTAAAAATTTTGGTTTAGAAGCTCTGTACAAGCTGTCACACAGTACAGTGGGAAAATATATGTTAAAATAAAAAATACATTGTATCTACAAAATTTTGCTTTATTTGTGAAGTATTTCATAGGATGAAACTTTCAGAACTCGTCCTTTTCATGACAGCTCACACTACAGACAAGGAGATAAAAACAGCAAAGGGGTATGAGGCTGTATAAGAATATAGTCATCTTTTTAATTCAGTGACAACTGAAACTAGTACTATGCTATGCAAACTGTGAAGTGGGCTAGGGAAGAGATTATTCTGAATCCCAATAACCTAATTTTAAATCCTGAAAAAGTCAGGCCAAAGTGTAGGTAGGCAGCAACAGTGGAAGAAACAGAGTAGATGGGATTCAGGATTTATGAACAAAAGCAAAAAGGACCCAATCAGTATGAAGCTCTCCTTTTAATTTATACAGCTAGTCTAGACTACGGTAGTGACAAATCAACATTGCAATTTACTTTTCATGACATAATACCACTGCACAGTTTCTGCAGATACTAACCAAATGCAGGTGTTCTTTAGATAAGAACTTTCAGATTTTTCCTAAACCCTGACAAGATATAAAACAACTGCGTAAGAGGCTTTTATATATCCGTCATTATTTGCTTTTTGGCGCCAGGCAAAGACCTTTTTATTTAAAAGTTATTTTAACTGTTAATTTATTATTGTATTTATAGATTTTAATATATATAGCCGAGGTGGTACCAGTTTTTAAATTATTAATCTTTTTTAATGAATGTTGTGAGCTGCCCCGAGGCTTTGTTGCGATGGGGTCGGCACAGAAATGTTTTAAATAAATAAATAAATATCCAGAATAAAAGAATGTTCTTATTTTGGCATCCGATCAGTGCTGTTAAGATTGAATAGGACATATAGATTTCTACAGGAAAAGAGAATTATGCTTACCTGGATTGGTTCCTGCTGTTTAAAGACAGGGCTGAGATCAGGTAGAATTAGCTTTATGTACTCTTCTTTGGTACATTCCTCTGCAATGAGCAGAACGTTAGGCAGTACAAATGGTACCATATCTGGGTTTACAAACTCAGCTGTCAAAGAAGGTAAAATCCTCTGCACTATCACACGCTAAAAGAAAACAGACATATTACTTTGCAATGCAGATCAGGTTTTCTTCAAAAAACCTCACACACTATTTATAGCAAGTTTCATGCTATCCCTAAGGAGCATAATGAAAACAAAAGTATTGCAATTTTTTAAAAATTACATTACTTGTCAGTCTGCACTACAGCACACTTTAAATTCCAAAGTTAATTTTGAAACTGTTATGGCCTCTGCTCCTCAGTCCAGGAATGGAGTCTATTACGAAGCAGTAAGACATGTTTCAACTACTGACAGAATGCCTATCTATAACAAAATCATCTGAGGTTACCAACCTTAGGTAATTTTGGTAAAACTTTTGGCAGCCCTTTAAAAAATTGTGACTTCTGAAGATTATCTCTTTGGAATAATGAATCGAAGTACTGTAGCGTCATGGCCCCAACATCATCAAAGAATGGTATCTAAAATAAATACAAGAAAATGAGATGGTAAGCATACTATAAAGAAACATCACATCTGTAAAACCGCCAATATAGCAATATAGCTAAATGGAGATTTTCTTTTCTGCCTTTTATATATGTGTCCTATTTTCTAGACAAAAGTGAAGTGTCATCCTCTTAGGAAAAAAATCAAATTCTGCAAGACAAGAATTTCTAAGTGCTTGCTTGGTAATGAAGCACATTTTATCTCTTGAATCAGAGTATTTGAATAACTACCTTTGAGCTAGAATATTTTTCAAAGTAATATTCAAAATTTAGCAATTATACATCCAATGCTTATTATAGTAGTAGATCCTCTACTTACTTACTTTAGTCATTTGGTCTGCATCGGGCCTGACTGCGGGAGCTACATTTAAAAGCAGTTTCACATGCTCACGGACTTCTTCTGGGATGTTTTGAAGATTATTGGGGCCCAAACGGCTAAGCTGCATCAACAAAACACATGTCATGGGTAACTTTAAAATAAAATCCTGCATGCAATATGTGCCACCAGTGCTGAAAGGATAACAGTCTTCTGCAGCAATGTATTGCATTCTGTGACAAGAAAAGCTGATTCTGCAGCCTGTTTAAATCACACACATTACTCAAGGCACACATATAAACATCCTGATAATATAGGTATGTGCATATGGTTTTGTAAATGCAAACAATACCAGTGGGAACTGTAACAAAATGTTATTGGTAACCTGACCCATAACAGAAATACTCGTTTGGGGTTCCAGCCAGCAATATTTTCTTGCAGGATACTTCATTCCACTCTATCCCTGTCCTCAGTTTTTCACTTTTCTTTTCTAAATCGTACTCCGGATTCTATGGTTATGGAGCATATTCAGTCCTCATTGGGAGTGGTTTATCTCCTTATGGCCTTTTTGTATTTCTACAAACCTCCTGATGTCCTCAAGCATGCTGATACATCTAACTTATTTTTAGTGGCCTCAGTTTGGCTCTATTCTTATCAGCATTCATAACCTGGCTTTGCTATTAGGAGGAGTTGATTATCCTCCCCCGCTGCTAATCATGGGAGGCACATTACTTGCTTCAGGGCCCAGAAGATTATTTTCTTGACCACTATAATGCACTCATCAGATACAGTATATATTTTCATTTCCATAATGCCCACCTTTGCAGCTGAAATACCCGAGAACTGACAGCAGATATTATTTCATAATATTTAAATCTTCCAATGTGAATTTAACAATCACATTCCCAATATACCTGATCCAGTTGTCTGCTGAAACTTTTATATATATCTTGCTTGTTGACCTCAAAGATAGGCTTTCCATTATTAAACACAGCATACATAATTGCCCCTAGAGAGTACATGTCACTCGCTGTTTCACAACTCACTGAAAGGATATATTCTGGTGCCAAATATTCAGGATTTGGGAGACACAAAGATGGTAAGTTTGGATCCCATTCTTTACAAGAGAATTTTGGCTGCAACAAGAACAGCAAGAAGTTTACATGGTAAAAAGTACATGTTTAAAACAATAGTCAAGCAACGTTTCTTTAAACCTTAGCACCTAGAAAATGCTATCTTAAACCTAGAGATGAGGATATCTAAGTAAACAAACTTAATCTTGTTCTAGCAAAAATATGAATAAAACCTTGTGTTAACTCAATGGCCATCTAGTTACCAGAGCTAAATGAAATAAATGAGATCCTTACATCCATACATGATAACAACAGAATAAATGCGCTTACTTCACTTTAGCACCATCCACTAAGAAGTAGGATAATCTCTATTAGCAATCAACATCCTATGTCTAAGGACCTCAACATAAACTATAGTAACCGAACTTGTATTGAAAAGTTCAATACAACTTTCTATCATAACATCTCACAACCTCTCATATGTCAGTACATCATATTGCTGGTTAATATTCCTTATATCCATTGTGATTGATCTTTAACCCAAAGCATGGGTTATGTTATGAAATGTGTACACTACTAGAAGGATAAACATTATGAGCTAGAGTTCTAGTATTTTTCAACCTGTGCTTCTCTGAGGATAAATAAAAAAATAAACACCTTGTTACCTCTTGCTCAGATGGGTTTATAGACTGAATGCAGAAATCAAATCCCATAATTTTCCATGCTCCAGTTTTATTCAAAATAATGTTTTCAGGAGTAAGGTTGCCATGGACCATTTTTACACTGCTATGTAAAAATGATAAGCCTTCAGAAACCTGTTAGAAGGATACATTATTGTGAGTTTTCTAACATATCAAACCTTTTCAAATTTAACTATGAAGTGCTATGTTAATTTATTTATCCCTGAAAAACAGGATTAAACAATTAACAGAAGTGAATTGGCTTTAGAAGTAGCACTGCTGTTTTAAGGAAAACAAAGTAGAGTCAAGTCCCGAGCTCCAGTGATTCTCAGGCTCAGCTGTATCCAAAACAGTGAAAAGGCTTGCAGTGGCTCTTCATCAGATTTAGGTAAGTTGTAACTCCTATCCAAATAGTCCCACCTATGTCTTGATAACACCTCCATGTGCTTAAAGCACACTGGGCTCTGGCAATCAACTGTCATTAGGCCTTACATTCTTCTTGCTCATGATGCACTATTATGCAATAGAAAGGAAGCAACCACTGGTTGCTCACTAGTTTTTCCTGGGACATATTGAATGAAGGCAGGCAGAAGAATATTTTTTTTTAAAAAGCTGCCTGTCCCAACAAACCTAGCTTTTAAACAGGCAAGAGGATACAAGGCAGTTACCATATATACTGGCATATAAGATGACACTTGAATAGCAAAGCAAAAACTGGAGGTCATCTTATACATCAGGTGACATATACTTTCCTTCGTTTGTCTTAATTCTTCCTCCAATCTTGCACCATCTTCTTGGTAATGTCAAACCTTCCAGCTGCATTATAATTACCTCTTTCGCAATTTGAATAACCTTTTAGCTTAAAACAAGACCCCACACACTGGAACGTGGCCCACTCTAGGAGAACTCATCCTGCATCAAATTACAAGCCTTGTGCAAAGCCACTGATATGGTCCCAAGTCTGGCGCCCACCCTGCCCTTGCCGGAGAGTGATGCACAGTTTTGGAATGGCTGTGCTGGCAACCAGGAAGAACAGCATTCCCTGTGAGGCTGTGTGTGAAGAAATACAGCACTGTCTGAATGGGCCTCCTCCCTCTCGTCTGCCCCTCTGCCAGACCCCTTGTAGACTATCAGCCTCCGACTTTATGTTTATACCTTGTTGAAAACTAGCCAGACAACTTCTGGCCGACAAATTGACATTACTCAGGTATGACAGAATTACTGCTCAAAACTAGGGGTCATCTTATATGCCCAATATACAACAAACACCAGAAAAACAGCCCAAATTATCAACCTTGTCTTAGACACATCAGTATACACAGTAAAAGCTCAGCTCTTGTTTTCTTGTGTTAAAGTGACATATGGTTATTGGGCAAATTTATTGCAACAGTAGTAGCCTGTTTTCCTCTTTAGAGAAGATTTGTGGTTATGTTGGTGAATACATGAAAAATCATTAAAATATGCTTTTAAAAAATAGTATTGCTGAAATGCTACAAGACCCCACTGCAACAAATATTTTTATATAGTCAGTTAATGTCTAGTCATGTAAATATCTTCACTGAAATCAAGTGGATAAAATCTGAATGTGCAAAGCTGTTATGACAATGAGGATATCATACTTATGTGTAAGATTATTAATGAAACATATACAAGTCACCAGTATACATACCTGCAGCAAGCCATATTTCATTTCCACATCATAAAGTTTATATTCTTTGATATCAGATGGTAAAGGAGAGGGAAGATTGTCCCAATTTCCAAGTATATTAGCCAAACTTGCACAAACAGGTTCTGTACAAAATGCCAAACAATCTCTAGAAAGAAACAAATAATCAAGCCTATTTAACAAACATCCTTAGTAAATAACTAAATTATAATTCAGAAGAGAGAGGTAGGCTGGTTGACATATAATTATTCTAGTAGCACTGTCACAGCACTAAGACATTACAATAAGGAAGGATGCTATTGTATTCTTAATCCATAGGTAATTACATAAAACTATGTTGAAAGGATGGTAGAAGCACAACCTAGTGTTGCACTTTTGTTATAACAAGTACATGCTGCTGGTAAATTTTGCTTTGCTGTACATGATCCTTTTCTAAGTAAAGGAAAAAATATTTTAAAATGCCCAGAATTTAGGTTCAAGTTATACTGCAGATTTTTGAAAGGAGACCCTCTTTCCAGAATTCAGTTAACTAAGCCTATACTGTTACTTAAGTTTCCAAAATTTATCAAATTTAGATAAATTGAATGTCAGAATGTTTTGAAATTGTGTCAAAAATAAACTATAATCATTTTAGTAACAGAGAAACTTACCGGGATTCCTCTAATGGATGTTGCACAGTTAGCAGCCGAGGATGTCGAAGCCTTGTTAGTTGCTGAACCCCTCGTTTTAAAGAATCAACAATTTGATCCTTTTCAAATTTTTGATATTTGTCCATAAGCTTTTTATCAAAAACAAAAACTGCCACTTCCTAAAAGGCATAAAATGTAATTACAGAACAATATGAGAAACTACATGCTTCATGCTGATTTTCAATTTTAAAATAGAGTTAGTCTCTGCTGTACTAGACTTGCCACCATGTGCATGTATCACTCTGGACCTGCTAACATGTAACAATCCTGAGATGTAACTATTGTAACGATATAGGAAACTGGGAACAAGTGTCAGGCCTGCTCACATCCTCCCTCAACCACCTCTTTTTTTGGTGCACTGTCTTTGGGTGGTTCAATCTTGCTCTATGACATCTAAAACACTAAAATCCACTTTAATGTTGAAATAAAGGAGAAATAAATAGGTGACCTGGTACTGAAAAGATAACAATGAAGATGCCCTGGAAGCCTCCTTGTGGAGTACACTCCATAAAAGGAGTACCACAACTGAGAAGGCCATCTTTTGTAGCCACCACCTAACATGACAGAATTGTCATAGAATAGAGCAGTATACTTTATTGTAATGGCCACCGAGACCATTATGCTAATAGGTGGCTTTTATACAAATTTAATAAATAAATACAACTAGCTGACGTTTTGCAAATGTATTCCCAATGCAGATAGCCAATCCAGATTCTCTCTTTTGGCAAAAGTCATCCCACAGGACAACACAGGCATTTTCTTTCTCAAAACTGGGCCTAAAGTCAGACTGAAATGTTATGGAGGAAGGGGAAGAACCAAGCTTGATTCTGGAATGACTAAAGACTAAAAAAATGAAACCCCTCTTCTAAGAACTGATAAGCATTGCAAAGGAGAATGGTAGGTTCCGATTTCTAATATAAATGGGAAATTATAAGCAAACTTAATCATACTTTTATGTCAAGTTTGCACCTCCATTTCTACCCATGATTCTTGCAGTTTATTATTCATGCATTGAAGTTTGTTTAGCTTGTAGACATGGTAAAGATCCACACAGTCCTATAGACAACATATGTGCTGCAGATTGTATCTCTATTAGGGAGCCTTAACACTTCTAAGATCTGCCAGTCTTGCTGAGCATGCCTTTTGTACTCCAGCCACAGTAAAATAACAGTAAATAGACTAACCACTCAATATTTGGAACATGGACCAATAAACAGTCAGATGGGCCATCACATTCAACCATACCCCATACGGTCATACCATGAGTGGGCAGATGTAAGCCTTATAAGATCTATTTTGTACTTTAATAAATAACCTGGAGGTCCACCAACTAGAACCAGATGTGAAATATATGATCTGTGATGCAGCTTGAGGCTACAAACTCTTGGTTATATATAACTGGCTGTGGATGGAATCCTACCTTTTATCTTTTTGTGGCTAGAGGAAAGAAGGCAGAGGCTGTTTTTTGAGTTTTTACTCACCTCTAATTTGAGTACTTAAATGAGTTATTCCTATACTTCTTGTCCAGCATCAACCCAGTGCTGTCAAGCATGGGAATAACCAGCAGGCATAAGATTCCAGCTAATTTCACACCTCCCCAACCACACTTGCAACTCCACCCATGTTCCCCCTTCTGCTTGCAGAGTTCCCCTTGTCCTAAGTGCTGCCAGTGTGACAATGGCACTATGTCAGTGCTCCAATATTTGTGGAAAATCTCCAGTGGCAAAGAGGACTTCAGAGTGATCCTAACATTCACTCGTCTACCGTAAGTGAGGGATAAGATCACAGTGTGTAGTGACTAATTTGTCTATTTTGACTAATTTAATGTGCTCATAAGCTGTGAATAACCCCTCTGGAGACAGGCATGATTAAGAATGTGATTATATATTTATATACACACTGCTTATAGTAATAATACTCAGCAAATAAGGGGTAAATACCTATGCTTATGCAAATATTTTTGATTCACTATAACTGAAGTAGAAATAGCCTAGTTGATGTTAGTACACCAAGATGCTGCTGCTGCCAAGTGACTATTTTTAGTTTGCAGTTCTAACGTATCTTGGGAGTAAACACAATGGGATGTATTTTCAAGTAAATATTAACAGAATTGTGCTAATAATAAACTGTTATAATTGTATGTTGGCAACCATAAATATAACAAAGATGCAAAAACATCAAACACGTTAGCAATTTAACATGTTCCAGAACTATGAAACATGTATTGCTTACCTAAGAACAAGTGCATTCAACATGCTCCTTTGCCAAGTTCTGTTTTTATTCCTATTGTTTTAAGTTAACTTGCTGCTTATTGGCATTTTACCCTAAACACTCCTCAAGAGACTGCACCTTGCATTTTATTAGTCATTCTTTGCTCGCTGTTGAAAAGGAACATAAGTACTAGCCATTTAGGTTGCAATCCTATATGCACACACACCAGGGAGTAAATTCAGTTGTGCTTACTTCTCAATAGACTTATTTTATATTGTTAACTTGTTTTATATTTTTATTGCATAATATTTTAATTGATATATTTGCGAGCCGCCCCGAGGGTTCGGCGAATGGGGTGGCATAGAAATTTTCTAAATAAATAAATAAATAAATAAATAAATAAATAAATAAATAAATAAATAAATAAATAAATAAATAAATAAATAAATAAATAAAT